GCGGAAGTGACCCAAAAGTCGATGGCAAAGTGACCCTCGATGCGGAAGTGACCCAAAGTCGATGCGCAAGTGACCCTCGATGCGGAAGTGACCCAAAAGTCGATGGCGTAAGTGACCCTCGATGCGGGTCTTGACCCAAAAGTGGATGCGTAAGTGACCCCCTCTGCCTCCAAAAAAGAGGTGATACCCTAGGTTTCCAAGACCATTTAAAGAATGGTTGACCTGTTTTTAGTGTAAAATCCTTAGTTGATTCAGTAAAGCCTATTAAATTGGAAGCCCAGGGAGATACCAAGGGGGTGTGCATCCTCGCCCTCCCCCGACCGACCCGACGTGCGCCCGGAGGCGAGCGAGGGCACCGACCTGGGGGACGAGCTCCTGCGGGCCAAAGAGAACGAGACGCGCTGGGCCAAGGCGGCCGAAGTCGTGTGTAGCAGGACAACAAGAAGACCACGGAGAGGTGGAGTTTGTTCGGTTCTAAGGAAACGGTTTGTGAGAATCAGCAGGTGTTGGGGTGTCAGAGTGTGGGGCTGAATCAGCTGTGGATCAGGATGGTTACACGCCAGCTAAACGTGATCCAATCATGACACAAACGCACATGTTGTACATAATACACATACAATTATATATATATACATTCTGGTGTGTAGTTCAGAGAAGAAACTGTCATCAGTGACATATTTGACACATTTCAATCACACTACAACACACATTACTCATATTGCAAGATGAGACACTTCCTATTGGCTTTAGTATTGATACCCCATCTTCTGCAAATTGGGAACCACCCTGGACTTCCATCCCTGCAAACTAGATGAGCGAAGACAAGATGGCATAGAGCCTAACAAGAGCACGACATGCTCAACCCAGAATGGTGGAATTTTGTGTTGCGAACGCCCCCAAAAACCGCGGGCGACTGCAGTCGCCCAAGAAACAGCCCGGCCCGCGTTCACGGGGTTAAAACCAACAACTCCGTTTTGTTTTTTTGGACTTCAAAAAACGGCCCAAACTCTTTGGGAGCCTGGACTCTTTGCGTCTTTGTAGCCAGATGACACCAGTCTGTACTCTTTGCGGACCTGGTTAGCGCCCAATCAGTGGACCCGATGAACTCTATCGCGACGAAAAAAACAATGTATCGTGGCCTCATGTTGACGGGTTTTTGTTCTTCTCTCCTCCAACCACTTTCCAAGGATCGTTCCTACAATATATCGAACACATTGCTTCTTTCGGATGCTGCACCTGCTTCCTTGCAGCCACTCGACCTCATCGCAGATGACACCACTCTGAAGCTGCGATTGAATTCCTTCCAAAAACCGATGTGCTGATTTTCCACTACTGTAGGCCACTGCCACTTCCCCTGACTGGCCAAAATTGAATCCGCCCATCACCGCGGTTGGTTCCTGATTTCTCGGATCGTGGTTGCACCCGGAAGCTTCGTGGTGTTATCCGCAGGTGGCCAACCAGCTCTATCGCATCGTGACGGAGCATGGCCTGGACCGCTAGGTGCGGACGGTCGCCATGGTGGATCCATGGTGGATCCCAGTCGGTCTCCACTGGATACACCCGGGAAAATTCACCACTGGTTTGTAGAGGCAAGTAGTCTTCCAGTCTGGTCCATTTTCAGGTTCCATGTGGGTTTCTTCCCAGGTGTATGGGGTGTGGACGTCGGAAAGCCCTCCCTTTCTCGCCCCGCCCCTGGCGGGGTAGACTGTATATGGTGCCGTCGTTCCGGACCGAATCCAGGGAGGTGAAACTGAGCTACACACCTAGGGATCAGGAATCAAAGGGTGCGTTTCCTGAACAGAGTGGTTCTTCTGGTGAACCATGGCCTCCCATGTAGGCCGGTCTTGGGGTGAATTGGACACCCCCCGAATCACCGTCTAAGTCTATGGTTTTGGAGCTCCCCGTGAGGCTGAGGGGAGCTCTGCTCAAGGTCTCGAACCGACACACACCGGGCCCTCGGCTTGGGGCCGTCTCGTTCCAAAAAGGAAGCGTTTGGCGAACGATTCATGTGCCGAAAACCGGCGAAGCTGGAACAACGTTTAGAGCTTCACGCGGAGAAGTGAGAAAGAACACTGGTTTGGAAGGAGAACAGGTCAAGTCGAACACGGGCAAACCTCCGACTTCGGGGGTGTTCGATTTGCTCATGTTGAAACCTGGGTCAAAACCGGATGAAGCAGACCTCCCTTGGGTCGCCGCTCTCCTGGTCGACGCGTTGGGAGTGCGAAGTCTCAGAGAGAGGCCTTCGGACGAGAGAGGAGGCTTACCATACCAGGTTTTTCAGAACCCTGGTTCGACTCTCCTATAGGCCTATAGGATCTAGAATCTATAGGTACCCCAGGTAGCTCGGGTCCTAGTTCAGGTCACTGAACCTCTAAAATTCAATCACGGTTGTTCGGAGCTTTTCCACTGGCTCGTGTTCAAGTATAGATGATCGACTCTGTTTGGAGGCTGTCGACTTCATGGAAGCATATGAAAGCTGTCGTTGCTGGGGAGGTATGGTAACTACTATAACCATGTCCAGGACCTTCACAGTGAGCTTTCTGGAGTCGCGAAGTCACTTGCGACCGAACTTCCAGGCCGAAGTCACCACCAAAGTCATCCAGGAACTGGTCACGAAGAACCCAGGGTCATAGGATGTCACAGGAACCTTTGCATCATCATATCCTTGAGGGGAGGGAACCCCGGGAAGGATTCCACATTCCGAGCCAGGTGGAGCTGCCGCACCGCACGTGCCGCGCCAAAACCCCAAGCAGCGATGCGATGCCAAAGGGAGCGACGGGTTCACGCGCGTGGGGGAGCGGAGGAGCACCCCTTTCTCCCACGAAACGAACACGGAGGACCAGAGTTGGGTGCCATCCGAGGAAGTCAGGGTGCAGGGTGCGTCACATCGCATCCACGGCCAACTTTGGCTTAAAAAAGGGACGAGCCAAACACCCACCCCGACCATGTCATTTCAGGTAAGGTTTTACCTGGTTGGAGACGCAGGAACAGCAGGTGCCCTGGATCAGATTCTTGGAACATCCACTGATCTTCCCGAACGGGCCTCTTGTGGCCACGGACCCGCCGGGCGCCCGGTGGCTTTGGCTCGGCTTAGACCCCCGAGGCATCGACGGTCATGTCTGCAATCTACCGCCCCCGTTCATGGCTTGAGTTTCCAACCTAATAGCAATGGCCTCCAAGCTTAAGTGTTCCCAAAAAAATCTAGAAACCAAATCATTAGTGCGAGCGCTTCTTCGAGGAAGCTTCCCCGGCCGCCCTAAACTGGAAGAAGCGTGAGCTATCCTGCGTCCTACCTAGGAGCGTCCTGTACCTACTAGCTACCTCAGTTCCTTACTCAATTAAGTAGGCGCCTACTCAATTAAATAAGGGGGGGAGCGGGCTTTAAAAACACCATTAACCACCCCTTACCAGCACTCGCCAACAGGTCTCATGAAGACTGTCGACCGTTCAGGTTCTCATCGACTGCTCCAATGGCGCCAGCGACTATGGCAACAAGCGACATGACTGGAATTGAGGATCCTCCCACAGACACGACCCATGGGACCATTTGTGGCCGAGAAACGGCCAGGGGTGGTTGAAAAGGGGTCAATGTAGGCGTTTCTTTTCCCATACGTGTGTCTGCGTCCTGCAGATTAACATGGACCTCCTTTTTCCTTGAGGGGTCCACTTGCGTGGTCCATGTCCACGACCATTCGAGGCATGTGGGGGAACCGGACTCGGCGCCCCCGCAGTACTCTAGACGGCCACTTCCGTCGGCGACGATTGGACATGGTCCACTTGCTGGGTTGACACCATGTCGCTGGACGGGAAAGAAACACTCGAATTTCATCCCAGGACTGGACATCTTCCTGATCCTCTTCATTTCCAACGTCTTCCCCTTTAGTTCAAGGGGGCTCCATTTGCTCCACCCTCCCAGTTTGCAGAACCTCTGTGGTTCTGCTGTGTCCGCGATGCAGAAACCATCTGCGCCGCGGATGGGTCGTACCTGAATGACGTACCTGGATCTTCCCGGTGACCGACCATTGATCCCCTGTCCAGGTCACCAGTTCCAGGTCTGTAAGTTCGGTCAGCCGCGAGTTATGGTCTTTGGAAGTTGGAAGACTACCCTCTCTCCCACAATCATGGAAGTGGAACATGGCAGCGTTGGACCATTGGAAGACTGTTTTCCTCTACGAACTGGGGGTGCCATCCACTTCCATGATAGTTTCAGGGAGGGTCCATTCCTTTCAGGAACGGCCCGTGCTGCGGTTTCCGCTGCCACTTCCGTCCACATGCTACGGGTTTGACCGACATGCTGTTCTTGTCGGTCTGGGGGAGAAGAAGAAACCATACTCGGTGGCGTGCCGACCAGGTGTTCCTTGGTGTCACTGGACCTTCGTCACTGGTAGAGCCCAAGTCAAGAGAAGAACATCTGTGGCCATTTCGGAACCTGAGAATTCGAGTCGAATGAGAGGATCGGACACAGAAACGATGTGAAATCCGGGGGCATTCACTGGATTCACTGAAGAAGCCACTAGGAACAAGTGCCACGCTACTAGGAAATCAGTGCCTTACTACTAGGAGCAAGAAGCTAGTAGAAACAAGAACTCGTCCTTCGTTCTCTTCCGACCCTTAGGACCCCCAGGGCGGTTTCAGACCGTGGACGGTGGACCAGACCGGACGGTCGTCGGTTGTCGCGACGGTGACCGAGGTTTGGCGAGCCGTTGATCTGTGGCTGGACCAGGCGCCGTTGATCTGTGGAAACGCGAGGTGGAGCTGGGGTGTTTTCCACCCACGGGCTGTCTAGGAAGGATTTGGGCTACCTCTCTGGCGATGTTTGATGCTGCGAAGTTTCTTAGAGCGACCTCCTCCCACAAAATTCACTGAATTCTCTTGAGGTGGCACTTTTGAGTGGCATAGCATAGGCAGTCATGTTATTCCTTTCAGATTGGGAAGGGACAACGCTTATTCTCCCAATTGGTCATCTCCTTCCTTTATGATCATCATCCCACGCAGATAGGATCTGGATAAATTTGGAGCAAATCGAAGACAGAACAGCATTCCTGTTGGTTTCATACAGAGCTCCCACTGCTCGGCATCTCATATACACTTTGGCTGGACTAGACGAAGATAACAGCTTCTTTGGCCCCTGTTGTTTGCAAGGAAGGAGAAACCCGGATCTGGGAGGCTCCAGGTGGTGATCCTTCGGATCACGCTTCGGCGCCGCCGAGCTTCGTTCACCCGTGCACCCACACCGGCGCCACCGGTCGAGTCGAGCGCGCTGCCACCGCGTCGTTTGGGAGAGGTCCTGTGGGATGCGCATGCCCAGCGGCGAGCGCTTCGAGTGGGTCAAGCCCATCATGCTGAGCGGAGGAGTCCGTCGTCGGGGGTGGGTCGGGCGCTGATTATCGGTGGGTGCCCCAAATACAATGATCTGTCGCAAAGCGCCCTCTTCTTTGTTGTAGACGGGGGTGTGAACATGTTTGAAATATAATCTAAGATGATCGAGAAAAACAACAAAAACAAACATCCCTGAGAATTGACCCGTGGTCGAACGACCATGTCCGAAGACGAACCCTGTGATGGACTGTCCATGTCAATCTAGAGGGTCATGTGCTCGGGTCGCAGGTGGATGGATTCTGCGATTCCTCATCTTCATCGGATTTCGCCTCCTCATCTTCCCGAGTCAACTTCAACAACCCACCGTATGGTCTGAATCCCAAAGAACCCCCCCTTCTGCCTGGATCCAGTGACCAAACTTCATCTCATGACTTCAGTCACTAGTGACTTCGCCCTTGAGGTTCGGTCGTTCCAGGGACTCCGAGGTCGTTCGGTCACAAACAGGGAGGTCCGGAACACGCGCAGCTGCCGGGTCCAGCGTGGCTTTTTGGTCCGGACCGCCTGGAAGCCTGGACGATGCCAGCCGCCTAGAAGTTCAGTTCGACTCTATTTTGACCGGCTGAAGGTTTCAGGAAGTTCCTGGACTCCGGTCCCCGTTCGTCAGAGCATTCTTTTTATAGTCTTTGACTCCCAGGATACATGTTGGCCCCCTACAGGCTCAGCGTTGGGCTGAAGGGACGATGCCCGTCCTGTCGTGGGCGGGCGGGGTTCGCTCTCCGCTGGCGGGGTGTGATCTCTATTCTTCGTCTCACCGAGCGTTCAGAGACCATCTTTTGGGGTTGTGCTTTTAGCCGGATTCCAAAGTGCGTTGTTGAGCCTGTAGAGTGTAGAGTGGGTGAAAGATGGTAAAGGAAGACCATGCAAGACTAAGTGAACTGAGACCATCCAAGACTATGTGAGCAACTGCCAAAACGTGCAAAGACTAATTTAGTAAAGAGCGGTGGTGGTGACCTGCAAAAGCGATAGGACCCCCCTCAAAAGCGATAAGCTTGCTGAATGATGTCCTTTGCTTGACGCTATGTTCCCAGAGTCTCCGCTGGCCAGGACTGGGTCAAATGGACCATGGTCACTTGGTGAAGGAAGAGCCTCAGGTGCCGCGGGCGGAGCGCAGCAACGAACGGAGCAGAAGCCGAGTGCTCCTTTTTTGAGTGTTTTTTGAGTGCTCCTTTCGAAACACCGGAGAGTCCCTTTTTTGTTTCAATCCTTTTGTTGTTTTTGTATTGATGCCCCCGACTCTTTCGGAAGATCCTTCAGAACTCATGGAAGTTCTTTGTTTTTTCCATTAATTGCATCCGTTTTGACCTTCATCCCTTCGGTTTCGGCCATGGTGAACAGATTGTTCGTGGAGGACGATTCCCCGCCCTGCCAGGCTGGCCAGCTGGTGGTCAAGATTGGCGGCCCGGCCTATCGCATCGGCGTGGGCGGTGGTGCTGCTTCCTCCATGGTGGCCGGTGACAACCAGGTGGGTGGCGCATGTATGGCACCTGTGGTGGGTGGAGATTGGGGGCAGCAGAAGAGAAGCAGAGGAGCTGGGCTTTTTCAGAGGCTGGGCAACTCCAAATTTAGGAGGAATTGCGGTGAGATGTTTGATAAAATACCGAACCCGGTATGATACAAAAACTCACTCTGAACGTTTATGAACCTGGCTGATTTCGGGAGACGCACTGAACAAGGCTCAAACGGCTGGTGGCTGGCAGGTTTCGGGTCTTGGAGAAGGACTCTCTTCTGCCCCATCGAGTCAGACCTAAAAAATCGTCGACCAGACGATGCCCAGACGACGCAAGGTCAGACCGTATCTACCCGAAACAGCTATGAATCCCCCTAAAGACACCAAGAACAACCCCTTGAAATCCTTTATAGCCATCTTTTTAGCCACCAAAAAGGTCTAGTTGATGTCCCGAAGCTTGGGTCTTCCAACCACCTGAAGTTCCACTTCCCTACCGGTGGTCCTCCGTCGACCGGTCGTGCTGGGCCAGGAGGAGTTGGATTTCAACGCGGTACAACGAGGAGATGCAGAGATGCAGCAGAAGGCCACGCCGGTCGCAGGGCGGTGCGCACCGAGCAGGGCCGAGGTGTCGGGCCGAGCGCCGAGGGCAGAGGGGGGAATCACGGGCCGGATGAAGGGTGGCGTCGAAGGGCGCAGGGGGCATGAGGGTGACTGCCGCGCAGGGGCAGGGTTCGGGCAAAACCACGGGCATGTGGGTGGGCAGAGATCGCTTTTGGAAGGGTTGAGCTTCCACCTGATTCAAAGAGCTTGCCATCTGTTGCCCTTCGAATGCGTGCATTTGCATATTTTTTCGGTTTCCGCCAGGTTCTATCGACAAAACCGAAAAGCACCGGGACTGAAGAAAGCACCGAAACGAAACCGGTCACGAAACGCGTCCGCGCCGTGACGATGTCAGTGACTGCTTCACTCTTCTTCAGGCACGTCATCTGTGAAAATGCTCCCCACAACACCTCTCCAGGAGTCACACAGGGGTGGTTTTGGTCCCTAAGTGAGCGGATAATGGGCACCCCCTATATATCCTGGATTTTCCAACAACCCTTGATTTGGTCTTTGCCGAAGAACCCTTGCTTTACTAAGGATTTTACACGACAGGTCACCAGGTCAATTGTCCCTCATTCTGTGACCTGGTGTCGAACTGAAGGCTTCAGGTGTATCCTCAAACCAGGGGCGTCTCCCAACCTCCACAGCGACTGTTCACCTAGACGACCTTTGAAGTCTGGTGGCGCCCAACCACCGGTCCTTGCTGGGTGGTTCCTCTCATCGGACCCGACCTCGGGACGACCTCGGACAGCTCCTCCAGGTGAACCGTGTGGTGAGGGCCTGTGTCGAGCTCGGGCCGGGCGCGCCCAGGGCAACGGGATCTTGGCGCCCTTCCGTTCCGCTGGATCCGCTGGATGTGGACGCCGGGACACTGAAACATCCAAATAGGACCTCACTGGGGTACCTATGGGATAGGCTAGTTAGGGTCCTTCAACCTCTGGATCACCTGAACCCTCCTTCCAGCTACGCCAGCTACCCACAGAGCCGTCGAACTGCGGCCCTACCCGTAGGAGCATGGGGGTTCAACCCCTACTGGGTGAAACACCGCAGTCCCAACCAGAAAGAACTGGATGGAACTCCCCAGTCCCAGTCCCAGTCCCACTTTTCGAGGTAAAGGGTCTATGGCGTGCCAAGGAGAGAGAACTTGGAACACACCATGAATTTCTGCTAGTTTTGGGCGGCCAGTCCTATTCTTGGGAGCCGCAATTTCAGTCGTTGCGTCTCGGCAAACCACCGGAATCGCCCAGCCCCTTCGCATGACCCGGGTGTGCACCCAGTAGGTGCTTTTGTACAAGGAGCGACTCCAGTGGGCTGACCATCTTGAAAAATTGCTTCGAACCATCCTGTTTGGGTGTCCACTGGACATGCCTAAGTAGTGTAGAGTGGTCCAGCCAGGACACCCAGACAGGCTGAAGTTCGAAGCATCGAATCGACCTTTTTTTCGTTTTATCGAAGGATCCTCAGTCCTGCCACGAAACGGATTTCCTCGGACGAACAAATCCGCCAAGGGAAATCCTGGCAGCCCTGGCGGTTGCCTGGTGGTGTTGAACTCACGAACTCGTGAACCGGGATTTCTTAAAGGCACCCCAAGTAGATAGACATCGATGGCTTGGCTTCAACAATGGTTTTCAGGTTCTGTGAGTGCAGGGTGTTGATCTCGAAGCATCAGTCTTGGCTTCCTTCTGCTCCCAAAGGCACATTATCCCAACTTGACCACTTGCGACGTTTCGGAGCATTTGCTGGTGGCCACCTTGTCTCAAATTTTGTTGCATTGACCCCGAAACTGGAAAAAGATGAGTGCCACGCTAGGAGATCTTCATGATAAACCTTCCCGAAGTTGGTCTCAAGTGTTTCTACCAGAAAAGGGTTTCATCTCTCAAACTGACAGCAGTGACTGCAGATTCTCTAGGAAATAGTCCAGGCGAAAGAGGAGTATCGGCAACTGTCTCTAAAAAATTGAACTCAACGAGAACTTGAAGCAGGTTCACGATTGAAACACTTGAAAGGACCATGTGCCGAAGTCTGCATGTACAGAATTTTGCACACGAAGGTTGCTGGAGGCTCTATGGTTTTGTGAAGCTGTCGAAATCGTTGCGATCCTTGAAAGTTGGACACGCAGCAAGCAGCAAGGCTGAACATCTCTGCAGAATGTTCTGAGCGCCCGCTAGCTTGCAAGCCTCCAGGGCTCAGTTGAGGCAAGAGACACTTGAAGGAGGTTGCAAGTGTGTTTGGCCCTTGACGCTTACAGCCTTCGCCCACAGGACGGGCTCGGAAACCTAAAGGGCTTCTAGCTTCCATGCTTCAAAAAGTACATCACATCATGATTTCCTGGGACCGGGTCCATTTGCCTCCCAAACCTTGCCTCCTGTGCATCGTCAGTTGCGCGCGCCACTTGGCGCCTTCAGGCCTAAGAATCCGATCCTCTCCATCCACGACCAGGGAGCTGGAGGCCTTTTTTGCTTGTCACCACTGGTCATGTGTGCGTGTGTGGGTTGAATCCTCTGCAGATTTCATTTGGGGAATCTTGGGAAGCGAAGAGAATCCTCAAAACTATATAAGGAGTTGCTTTGGATTGGACACTTGAAAGAAGCCTGCCCCTTTTCCGGCGCAGCCGGAACCATGGGATCCTGAACACCCACCATGTGCTTGCACGGCCGATGCCGCCGATGCTTTTGTCAGAGTGAACTTCCATGTGCGTAGCCTGAACATTGATGCTGTTGGCTCTTAGTACTGTACCATGAAGAACTTTGCAGCAAAACTCGGTACTAGGCATCCTGACGCTGGAGTGAGAGGGAGGAACAGTGCATGCAGCTCACAGTCTTCCACTGTTGTACTTTCCTGTTTGATGCGAGACGCGGGAAATCCTCAAACTCAATCGTGCCAGCAACATCTTGGCGTCAGTCTTGGAAGACCATGTTAACTTTGATAAGTCAAACCGACCTCCCGATGATGTTGACCAATGACTCCTGCATTTCAATCCGTGATGAAATTCCGTGTTGGGTGACGCAGGGCTTCGGGGACGATCTTCAAAACGAAGTGACTACCCGACTGCTTCGCAATTTTTTTCATTGGTCGGTGCCGTGGTTGTTTAGGACTGGAGCCGCTCCCCTTGGACCCCTTCGTCGTGAACACATGGGTCTTTCCGCACGGGAACTGGTTCATCTCAGATCGCCCAACAGCCCGAGGGAGGTGGATCAAGGGTCAAACAGCTGGCGAGACGATCGGTGACCATGAAGTGCCCCTGTGTGACCATAAAAACATCAAAACTGAAAGGAAGAGGTGGGATGTTTTGAAATTGACCAACATTTCCGGACATACTCTTGCCAAGAGAAAAAAACACCTTCCACCAAACTAAGCCGCCAACCTACAGACAGATTGGCAGAAGTATCAAACCTTTGGGGCACGTGCTCTGGATGCTTCCCATCCGATGCGCTGTAAGGTAGTTTATGACATGCACACACGGGTACCGTTGTCGGACAGATGAAAACCACCAAGACACGACCTGTCTATATTACGGTGGTTGCAGAGGTTCGAGCCGATGGCACTGGCACCATGTGGCACCCCAAGATGTCTTGAGTCTTGATGGGGGGTCCATATAAACCACCAAACTTGGTGCTGCCGTTGTGCCATCGAACCTCTGAAACTGTACATGGAGCCTCCATGTTCGTGCTCAACCTCCCTTCACCTTCCACTCCGGATCCTCGCTTGAGCTTGGGAGCGGATGAAATGCCAAGCTGCCGTGGAGCTGTTTGAAGATGAAAACACCAGCAGTCCCATGGGGTGCTATCTATGGAGGTTAGGTCCCAGGACATCCACTCACTGGTGACTCAAAACCATCACCTTTGTGGGACTCCTGGCACAGAACTCTGTTGCCGCGAAAAAATTGATGCGTTGGTCCATCGGCTCTCGGCTTACTTCCCGACTTTTCCTCCATCCACCTTGGTCTCGGCTGCTCCATGCGTGTTCGTTCCACCTCGCCCAGTCCCGCCCTTCAGAGGCTCTGGGAACGTGCTGAAGGAGATCTCGGAGCCGGCAGGTGCCGTGACCTCCGGGTGGGTTGGGCCCAACCAGTTCCGGCGGTTTGGACCCGGGGCCTTCGCCCCGGGTGGTTTTGGACCTTCATCAACTGGACGTAGCAGTTATCCATGCAGTTGCAGCAGGGGCGCGCCTCTTGGGGCCCTCTGATGAGTCGGGTGGCTACGGAACGGCCTGTGGTGGAAGAGTTTCGAGACCGCTCGCATAGTCCAGAACTCTTCAGTGACCTGAAGTTTCGGGACCCGGAACACCTGGGTTACGGCACCCGAAGTGGGAGAGTGGAACTATAGGGTTCTGAAGAACCCTCTGGGTTGGTTTGGGGACACGTGTGACCCGAATCTGATCCCACCTTGGCTCATCCCCAGGGCTCGTGGATGTGTTCTGGGGGCACCCCCTGGAAACCTCCATGCACCCAACTCTATGGGAGTGCTGGCAGTTTCAAGGTGTTTTCTTTCCCAGACAACCTGAGTTCCTTCGGTGACCCCCGAACGTACACCGTCTACCCAATTGGGGGGAGTATCCCCGGCTCACATGTCTATTTTTTTAAAGATCGTTGCTTCAGAGGTGAGGTGAGTATGGGCCCGAAGGGGTGTCTTAAAAATCCACCCGGGCGATCTTGGAAGGTCCTGGTATTTGTTTGGTTTTTGGAACCTTCACCAACATGTACCCAGATCTTCCAGACAAGGTGCCGGTGTTTGATGCCTTTTCATCTGTAAGAACCAGCCCAAGTTCGGTAGAAAACTGGGCAGCCGTTGGATCTATCTATAGGTGGCAGTTGCTTCGGGAACGTGCGCGGCTGAGTTCAGCCGCAGGTGCCGTGATTGACCTGCGAAAGATGCACGTGGGCGACCCCTCCATGTCCTTCCTGGAGATTGCGCGAATGCGGGGAATGTGCGCGGAAGAGCGTGGGGCGAATGCTGAAGCGCAGTCGAACAGGTTCAAGAGGATCCATGGCTGTTGTGGTGATACCTGGATCTTCCAAGTCTTTTTGGGGCTTTTGGGCTGATTCTTTGCCGTACAGGTCAAAGACGTTGCTCACCACTCAAGGAGGTAAAAGGACCAGGTTTGACTGGGTCTTTGGACTTGGAAGATCCAAGCCATCACCACCAAGACTCACTCGGGGGTGCTTCGGGTGGTCCGTAGACACCCCCCCGACTGACACGGGGTGACGGTCCGGTGAGCGAATACGTCCGAGTCGAACGAAACGCTCCTCGCCATCTGCCGTGTTCGCTCCAGGAGCTTTGGACTGCGGAGTTTCAGGAGAACAATGCCCTTCTCCTGGGCAAGGAGAGCGAGGCGGCTGGGTTGGGGTAGTGGCTGGCAGAACATGGACGAACAGGCTCTCCCTGCGCAGCGCTTTTGGTTTATGTATCGTGCCCGACGCGGTCGGGCGAGGTCACGCAGGATACTGATCACGCATCTTCAAGCAAGCTCCCCCCTACATACAAACCGGTCCCATTTGGCGTGTTTGGGTCACCCTCCAATGATGCCCGTTGGTGGCTCGTTCCACGGAACACCACCCCAACCACCACGGGCCCTGCGCGCCGCCACGCTCTCCAGGCTCCGGGGCCCCGGTCCTAGTCGGTTCAAAGGATGATTCCTTGACTGGGACAGTCCAGCGAGGCAAAGGGGTCCTCGTTGGGGTTCGCCAGCGGCTTTTTCCGGGTTTGGGGGGGCTTGTGCGGGGGAAAACTTTGTTGAACGTTCTTCCAGTGGTGCACGGCATAGAACGCCCGCAACGACCTGTGACGCGTGCCTCGATGCTTCCGGCCCAAAGAACGACGCCACGACGCCACACCAGGCCCTCTTCGATCAAATCTGCAAGCGCGAGAAGGTCCCCTATGCCGTGGTGGGCACCTCTCCGGCATGGGCCGCGTGGCACGTCTCGGCCGTCTAAAACCCTGCCCAGCTGAAACAGTCTCGTTCAAGGACCTTGAGCAAGCAGAGATGGAAACCTTTGAAAGCGACGCGCATGAGGATCCCAGCTCTAGTAAGTCTGGGATCAGATGTCAGATTCTAGGCATTTGTTCTTTGCGATGGTTCCCTGGCATTTGTTCCAGGTTCGACGCGTCTATCTCGCTTGGAGAAGAGACCATCTTTGAACCTAGCTTTGCTGAAGGTTCTGCACGTATTGTACAATTGTTGCATTCACCGATTTATGATTGCCCATGAAGATCTTATTTCGGCTGGACAAGGTGACAAGTTTTTGTCGGAACTCTGGATATCTCAGAAAGCTCGGAGGAACCTTCACGGTCGAGGGGCGGTATGTTTCTCTTTAGGTCTATCCTATACATGTCTTTCTTGGACCGGAGAGAAGAACCTCACACACCGGGGCCTCAAAAAAGGTGCAGACAGATTGCCCCGCCCCGCCTCGTTGCAGCGACCCCAACTTCGTGCCTTTCGACCACAGCCGACGGCCTCAGGCACCATCACTGGTGATGGCAAGGTGGTGGTGAAAGACTCCCGCGACAACAGCTGTCCGGTGGATCTGCCCCTGGACAAGGCACAGATCTATCGGTTCGTTAGGTCGTTTGGGGCGTCGTCGTTCGGGCGGCGTCCGCGACAGAAAAGGGACCACCGGACTGGGGAGGGAATGGAGGGTTGCTTTCTGGGCCTGGTCTGTTCGACCGTCAGACCTCTGAAAGTCGACCGTCGATCTGCCAGAAGCATGAAGAATGCAGGCGAAGCAAGACACAGCGAAACCAAGACACAGAGGTCCCAACTTTGCCCTTTTTCAGGAAGTCCAGCGGATCACCTGCAGGTCACCTTGGTGTGAGACTGTAGACACCCCACTTCAAAAGTTCGCTTCACCTTTATTCTCCAGGGTGACTGAGGGAGTCAGTCAGGCCATGGCTATGGCTATGTTCCAGCCAGGAAGCTACAGGTTGATAGGTTTTCCCTTGACCCGCGAGCCAGGGAAATTAGGCAATTAGGCTTTGTAGCACGGAATCTGGAGGAGATAGAGAGAATCTGGGACCAATCCCAGATTCTCAAGCGCCAAAAGGATGGTGATCCTGATGCTTGGGACATGTAAGGATCATCTATCTACCCAAGGTTCACTGGTGACGGTTCTGTTGCTCGGGGGTTAGTCGGGCAGAAAGAGTCCAATTCAGATCCTCCCCGGACGCATCGGTCGCAGCGTTGACCGTGAAACCCATCGTCTTCCGTTGACCATGATTCATGGCTTCGGTTGACCTGGTTTTGTAACAACAACAACAACACCAGCAACAACAACAACAACAACCACCACAACCACAACCACAACAGCAACAGCAACAGCAACAAAAGCAAGAACTACACCGACACCGACACCGACACCGACAACAGCAGCAGCAGCAACAACAACAACAGCAACAACCACACCGACAACGACAACGACAACGACAACGACAACGACAACAACAGCAACAGCAGCAACAATCACATTGACAACAGCGACAACGAACAACGACAACAACAACAACAACAACATTAACAACAAGGGTTGATTGGTAAAACATGCAATTGTATACTTTACTTCGAGCGACCCCCACCAAGACATTTCAATCATTTGTTCTCATGCCACGGTGATGAACATGTTGCCATGGTTGTGAGTTTTGTGGTTTTTGACTTTGCTTGTGGGTCCTCGGATTTGGGATTGTTATTTTAGTGTTAGGGAGTTCGCGTCGGGGTGTCGCCAGGGTCTCTAGTTGGCATCCAAAAGTGCTACCCTGTGACCACATGCCAGGCAAAATGCAAAACACACACACACAGGTAATTATATTGTTGTATATAGATGTGTGTTTGTGGTTGTGTTTGAGTGTTGTGTTTGTGGGCTGTGTTTGTGGTTGTGTGCTTGTGGTTGTGTGTTTGTGCCTGTGTGTTGTGGTTGTGTGTTGTGGTTGTGTGTTGTGGTTTTGTGTTTGTGGTTGTGTGTTTGTCATTGTGTGTTTGGGGCTTCTGCGTTTGTGGTTCAGAGCCAACTTGCCGAGTGGCTTCTGTCTCAGTGGGCTTGGGGCTCACTCTCAGCCCAAACATGTCAAACAGATAGCAAGTTTGGCTTGTCGAGATCGTGAACCTTTTGACTCCAACCCATCACTACTGGAAGACTTGCAAGTCCTTTCAACGCTGGGTTGCAATGGCCTGAGCCAGAACAATATGAGCCAAGAGCTCATGATACATGTCAGAATTTGCCAAAACTTCACGAATCACTTCTGGCTGAGATGAACTTTGCACCCCCCTTTTGGGAAAGCAGACGCAGGAGACCCTTCTGCCGCATGAGGTGTTCTCTTCCCTCTACCATGCTACCCGGAGACATGGAAGAAGACAATGCTCCAAGGGAAGAGAACCTTCATGGTTGGTGGGATGCAGTGGACCACCGTCCCACTATGGTTGATTAGACCACAAAAAAGGTAAGTGACCTGGTTTTGTAGTGTGAAATCCTTAGTAAATTGGTTCGGGATTCAGCCTCTTAAATTCATGGTGGGCATCACTTTCCGCTTCAGCGGCGTGGTTCAGTTTGGTCTGTTAGGTCTTGGGGAAGATGCCGCAGAAGGTCTTCAAGATGCAGCGCATCTACAAACAGCTGCCCAAAGCACTGGACCCGGGCCGGGGTGTGTTCTTTCTTCTCCTGTTGTTTTTTCCCGGAGGGGATTTAGCATGATTTGGCGGATCTTGGGTGCCGAGCCTTGATTGTTTTGGCCGTCCTGATATCGCAAAGACCAGTGGAGACAATTTCAATGAACCTGGGCAAAGCATAGGGTTTGGACATGTTTTGCTCTGTTTTGCTCTCAGAATCGTCGCGCACATGTCCTGCATTGGCTGCGTTGGTGGGATCTGACGAGCAGCCTGTTTTGATTGGACCAGGCCAGCGAGGTGTTACTTTTTGGATTTCATTCCAACCGTAGCAGATGGACATCTCGACTTCAATCAAAACGTTCCGTTCGCTCTTTTCCACCCAAGAAAGCCTTTCCGAGCTCGAGCTGAGCGAGTGCTTTTCGCGCAGGATCTTCCAGCTTCGTTGACGGTGCAGGTGGCACTGGAAACAGGCGGGTGCGCCAGTCCAACCCAGGAAGTCATCACCTATAAGACCTTTTTGCGGGATTGGGGGGACACCCCACGAAGAACATTCACGGTGTGGACAGCTTGCTTATAGTCTCTATTTTCCATTTTCGAAACTGAGGGACATCAGGCCACCTGAGGACTTCAGCTCACCATGAGTGTAAGACTTAAGAAGGACCAATAAGCACCCATGCAGCCCATGCACCTTTGTAGCAAATGTGAAATCCGTGGCTTTCTAATGTGTTGGATGACGTTGGATTTGGTTTCGTACCCGACCTGGAACGAAGAAACATGGTGTTGAGCTGCCCCACCAAGTAGATAGCTACAGATAGCCACAAGTCTTCTACATCTCTTTTTTGAAGAAGGCCATGTGTGTTCGCTTCTGTGACCCGCGAGGGAAGAACCAGAAGGTGCTGGAACATTTGGGGTTTCTCGAAGGGTCTGGATTCTTAGAGTAGGTGATGAAACCCACGAAGGTGCGAGACCTCTGGTTCTTCGTGAACTCGTGACCGGTGGTTTGTGATCTTCAAAAAAACGTGGTAACTTAGGAGCTGAAGGAAGGTCCCATTCCCAGGGACATCCAGGTCGTTCGGGCACGCACTGAAGAAGCTCAGATAGGGCCTTCTTAGGTAGCTGCGAGCTACACCTTTTTCATCCTCCGAGAAGCTGAGAAAAGCACTTTTTGCGGCCCTCTCAGTGGTGGATGGAGGCGTTTTTTGGGTCGGTGGAGGATCCCCTCACCGACCGCCGACCTTCCATCCGACCTTCCGACCCTTGGAGTTTGTCGAATTCCAAACTTGCTTGAACTTGAAGACCTGGAGAAACCCAGCAGCCGCACCTGGACTGCGGCTCCCCAGGCGTCCTGAGATTGCTTTCGGTGTGCTCCAAACGCTTCCTGACGAACAAGGCGCGCGACTGGCTGAACTTGGTTGATCGACGATGATAGACGAGAGGTTCCCTTTGCAGGACAAGTGACCGGTGTAGTCGTTCGGGGCTGGGGGAGATTCCAATCTTCCGAGCGTTCGCGGCGCTTGGATTCAGTCGCGGGTTCAATCTAGGGCAACGCTCGGAGGCTCATAGGAAGGCATCTACATGAAACATCATTAAACTGACCCTATCAAGAGCATGATTTCTCATCTGAATCATCTGAATTGAAAGGGGGAAGTCCTGGACATGTCGTGCCTCCAGACCGGGCCACACCACGACCAGACCGGAGTCTCGAGTGGGTAGCTTCGCAGGGCATACACGTCTGTCTGACATGTTCTGGCCTAGCTCCTCAAATCTCGAGTGGGTAGTGGGTAGGACAGGAGGTCTGACAAACATACATGACATGACATCATACTGAAGTCCAATTTGCTTCCATATCAACCTCTACACTATAACATCATTCCAAACATGTTTGATGCACAGACCGCTCTCAACCTCCTTGCCATCCACGAAAGAACCTCACCTGTCTCGCTGGAGCCGTTGCTTCCACCAGGTGGACCGATCTGTGACGGGGCAGATTGCACAGCAGCAATGCCGCTCGGCCACGGGAGGAGGTCCGCGCCGGAGATGGTGTGGATGGACGGCCGAGCGAGGAGGAACCTGTGGAAGAGGCTGAAGAGATGCCCCAGGTCACGTCAATGGAACCAGTGTTTGGTTCCACTAGTCACCTAGACCCTCCAGGTGTCCTAGTAGCTGGATTAGTTATAGTTAGGGATCTTCAGACAGGACACCCAGATAGTCGGATGGTCCAGATGGTGCCTGGATCCGCAGATCCTCTGCATGGGGCGGGGCAGTCTTTCATGGAGCCCAACGTGGGTTGGCTGGGCGATCGGCCAGAGTCGTCCTCCGATCGGACAGAGCTCGATTCCAAGAGATGGACATCATCTGGCCGTGTCGAAAACCCGTCCGCGGACGGGCTGTTGCCGGCAGCTCGGTGCACGGTGCAGCTCGGAGAGGAAGAGGCCGTGTCTCTCAATCAAAGGGAGACAGTCTCCCAGAACCGATCTGGCCTCTGTTTTAGATGGTGTGCCTGTGTCCCACATGAGTGTGTAAAAAAGGGCACCGGTCACCGAAGTAGACTCGATCTTTCCGAACCTTCCAGGGCGCTCGGAACGAACGCGGGTGAGGTCTCCAACCGTTTCACCACACGCAGATAGATGGTTTCTCTTCACGCAGATAGGTGGCTTCATCTGATTTGATTGGGCGACAAAAGCTTGTTTTGTGGCGGTGATGTTGATGTTCTTCTCACTGGGTGAATCTCCTGGCATGGGGAAGATGTCTTATCTTTTTTTCTCCCTGTTTGCCGAGCAGCAATTTCAAGACGAGGCCTCTAGAGGCTTTGGGGTGTGCACCAGAACAGAATGTGCTGGGCTGGCGAGGCCGGCGGTGGGGTGACTCCCGAAAACTAGCCCCCGAGTCGACACGTGAACAGGAGCTGTTTGGGAGACTCTGAAAATCAGACGTTTAACCTTCCAACAACCATTGGATTTAAATAAGAAAACATGGCACTATAACACCAGGTCAATCTCACTTCTTTGAAAGGGTCGAAACCGGCGCCTTGGCGCCCGCGACTCCGGACCCCTGCAGAGCTTCCACCGAGGCGTCGGGCCCCTGCAGACGCCCCTGGCGGACTTCGCCTGCATTGCGCAGAGCCCGCTGAGCACCTCCGGAGGCGAGACGCGGAGGAGAGAGAGTGGTGAAGAGTAGTGGCAGAGGCGGGTTTTTCGGAATTCGGAAGGATTCCGGCTGTTACTATAGGGGGGGTCTCCTCTTTTTTGGGGGCGGCTCCATTTTTCGTTTTTTTGCTTTGTGTTCAATTGCGGAGTGCTTGAGGTTTAGAGGCCAATGAGTTGTCCTTAGAAACCCCAGATGATCTGGACTGGACGCTGCTGCGAGGTGGTCGGTATGGATCACTTGTTTGGTCTGCATTGCTGCTGCCTGGGTTATGTCTGACAGGGATGGTCAGATGTCCATTGGCTCAGGAAGTCCTCAGTGGTTCTACAGGACAATCTGCAGGGAACAGACAACTCCGTTTCTCTAGCCACGCGAGTGTTCTTTTTTTGGTAGATGTTTGTGTTAACCAATCCTATGACCCACCATGACCCACCCATTATCAGCTTTGTGGCTTTGTGTTTGTTATTGAACACTGATCTGCAAGTTGGGATTCGAAGATGATCACCATGCACTCGAGTACATTCAACTATAAATGGACCTTGCTCTTTGTATCTCAACTTGCCAATTTCTACAAGCACATCTTTGCAACGCAATAAACAACAGCAAGAGCCGAGCCGAAACGGTCATCGCCAACTGCCAACTCAACAGGATGACCAACTGTGATCGCCCGGTGAAGGGGTTCAAGCGCATCGAACAGGAGTTGGAACCATACGAAACGTCATCAATAGAACCATGTTTCTGTGTTTTTTGGGGGCTGTAGCCAGTATCTAGCAGTCCGGCAACACAAGTAGTTCTTGTTTCTCCTTTTTGTCCCGACGCGAATTCTGCATGGAAGACTGGAAGACTGGATATGGTCTTCACAAATGGGCGACTTGATTAATCCCCTCTACGCGAGGCATATGATTTTGTCCAGGTTTGCTTTAACGCACTTGTTGTTGAAGCCTCATCAAAGGCATGCATCTATTCAAGAAGTCATCCCCATATGAAAAGCGGGGGCAAATCGACGCTGGAACATCCTGGACCTGGACCATCCTGTCTGGAAAAAACACGAAAAGTAGTAAGTAAGATGGTGCAGTCCAGCCACTCAGACAGGATGAACTTGTTATTGTTTTGCCTTTAAAATGGGCCTTGAAGACGGTTGGAACTTGGAAAATGGTTCCAAGTAGTTTTTAAACACCCGTTTTTTAACATGTAACTTGTAACATGTGTTCAACCATGTTCAACCCGTTTTTTGGGCCACGTTCCGGCAGAACGGCCAACCACCTCCCAAGAAACCCATTTAGATCGTCCCTTCTTGACCTTCACGGCCACAGGAGATCAACAGAACTGTCTAGAAACACTCCGTTGCCAGGATGACCTTTCTCCTGATGTGGTACCTTCTGAGCGGAGCTTACCCCACCTGGTTCTTCCTTTCGGCTCCCGGTCACATGATTCCCCCCTTTCCTTTGGGGTTCCAGTTGGTGACGACCTGACCTGCGCGAACGGGCGAACGGGCGGCGTCAGGCGCTACGGCGATTGGTGAGCAGCCTCTCAAGGGCCTGGCAGGAGAAGCGCGACGGGTTTGGTGATGGGAATTGGTGGTTTTTAGGCGAACAACGAGATCCCCTTGGATTCCAACTAGTAGTAGTTCGTTGCTCATATGGAAGGACACGCTCGTATATGGTAGCTATGATCAGTGACGCAGAAACGCTGCAAGCGCGGTCCGATCGACGCCATTGAGATGCGACGACTCCCGGCCTGGGCTGCGACGGTACATCCGAGGCTGCGAGAGCGGAATCCACTGGAATCCACGTCGTGTGACCATGGATGTACCAGCGGATGTAGGCATGGTGTACCAGCGGATGTAGGTCTCCTTTTCTCTGAAGGCCATGTGTGACCATGTCGCACAGAGACATTTTGCCAGTTCAGTGATGGAGTCAGGTCCAGGCGATCTCGAAGTAGATGGAAACCACATGGGATTCACTTCGGTCGACCAGTCCTGGCGACGACTTCACCATCGACCGCCCCATCGACCGCAGAGAAGCACGTCTCGAGTCTTCCGTCTTCCTGTGGATGGCCTACGAGGAACGCAGTGACGGCAGACCGTCGGTGTACCCAGACTCAAGACTGATGACAGGCTTTGGGGGTCATGCCACGTACTCGCCCGGCTGGCCCGTGCAAAAGCCCAGCTGGGGCTGGGGTACAGGCATCACTGCAAGAAACTCAGTCCTGAATCTGAAGGCTCTCATATCTTAAGGAGTGCGGGGGATGGTGCTGCATTCTGTCCACGAAAGAACTGATGTTGTCGATGCATAGTTTTATAGTGCCCACTTTGCGCAGAAACAGCCTCCACCGACGCATCTCTGAATCAACAAGTCTACTCGCCAGTCATTCATCCACCTGGCCAAAGTAACTCTGTCTCTTTTTGGAGCGGTGACTGTGATGACCCTGTTTTTTTTGGGGTCCCTTTTTCCAGGACCCTTTCGAAGCAAGAATCCAAAAGATGAAGAAGAGTACCAAGACCATCCTGCACATGGGTGTCCTGGCTGGACCACCCTACCACTACTGAGGGATATCAAGACAAGACAGGATGGTCCAGGTAGTTTTGGATGCTTTTTCTGCTTACCTTTGACTGAAAAGGCTTGAAGAGGAACCTGTCAAAGGCAGGAGAAACACATCGCGAGAAAACCGCTACGAGCTCCGAACCTGGTGCTGACTAAAAACAATATCTATATTTATATAACCCCAGAGGCCCCCCATTCCGGCTTGCAGGAACCGTGAAGCCCGGGGTTGGCTTAGATGTTTTCTTGTGTGAAGTCCTTCGTAAAACTATATGGTTGTACGGACAAGACCCACTTCCATCGATGGTGGTTGGAAGCTTAGGGTAACTATACATACACTCTAGCTGCTTGGACGGGGTCACCACCCTACACAACCCAACACTGCTTATATAATATAGGTAGGTCTCCACTGGACACCCCGAACTCAAATAGACCAGGAGTACTCCTGTACTAAAGTCATGACCCTCGGAATTTCACTAGGATTTCACTCAAAGTAGCGACGCAGTCATGCGAACTGGTCCATGTCCACAGGCAGTCTGGATCCTTCTGCAACACACCAAGTTCTCCGTGCAGTTCTCACTCCTTCGAGCTCCGTCCACATCCATCCGATCCAAGTCTCGCATCGGCACCGTGAGGTCGGTCAACGTCCATTTCGTGGCAACGGTCCGCTGTCAATTTAGATTGAGCTGCCAATGGTCCAAGGAAATCCACGAAAAGACGTGAAAATTCCACTCTGTTCCACTGTTCAGCTGCAGTTGGCCACCTAACGGCCAAGTCTGAGTCCGGAATGCGGATCCAGTTCCGTCCACACGACCAGTTGGCCGACCTCTCCGCGCGCGATGACGGACGTATGTTCAGGAGATCCCGAGAGCTGCGTCTCCATGGCGCGTTTGGCTGTGGCCGAGGCGGGGACGTCCGAAGACGGCGCAAGCTGCGATAACCTGCGGTTCACGGATCTTCAAGGACCCAAAGCAACCATGGTTGGTTCGGTCACGACTGGGGACTCCAGGTGGTTCGGTCACTGGGAAGGTCGTTCTTCATGGTGGTACTGTTCTGCTTGGCCCGTGGGGTTTCGGTGTATTTCGTGGTTCCAAGGCTTGGGCATCTCCTGAAAAAAGGAAGACGAACTTGCTGGCGGCCAAAAAGAGCTGGAGTTTGAAGGTCCTGGTGGTTGCCGGTTGCCAGTTGTGTTGAATGCTATGTTTTGGGAGTCACTTTGAAGGCTGATTCACGGCTTCCAAGACCACCAACAGGACTTCAGACCAGGAAACGCACATGGCTGTGGGTCAAAACCCGGGCAGGGTCAGGAGATTAGACCTCCCAGGGTTTAGGCTCCGGGTTTAGACCGCCACATCAGATAGAACTATACATTTATCCCTTTCACTATACGAAGGGGTCTTGGACTTGGAATACAGCTCGTGTAGGACTGGCTCAAACCCGACCAGTCCGTCCCCACCGACAGCGACAGTGCAGTCTGCAGTATGCAGTATGCGCCTCCAAAACTCGGAGACCTGTAGTGCCTCGGTGCTGGTGGAGGCTCTTTGCTCTCTCATTGTCTCCTGGTCTCGGCGCCCACAGCAGCCTTTCGGTGCCCGACTTCGGTGCCCGACGACGGTGTCCGTTTCGGGGGTCCCGGGACGAGGCACTCACCAACCTCGCGTGGATCCGCATTCCCACGTTGGATTCGATCAAGGCGCTTGGGTTGGCGATGACTCGTGTTTCTTTTTGTGTTGGAAGACCTCCCAACAGGCAGAGACCAGTTTTTGTCCAACTCAAGTGTTGGGGGATGAACATTGACTGCAGGGGGTCCATGTTGGGGGTGGTTTGGTTCGTCCCCTCCCGGGGCCGTGGATGTGACAGGGGCACCCCCGACTTCCTCCGTTCGTGCCGCACTTTTGCAACTGGTTCGAACAAGTTGTTTGGGGTGGAATGTGAGGGTCTACCCCCATGCGGACCGGTATATTGATGGACACCCCTTAACCTCTACGGAGCTATTGATAGATACCCCCTTCTTGTCGGAGTGGGTCTGTGTTGAAGCATTCCGTCTTTCTTCGACTCCAGGTCACAGCCTATGCGTGGTTGGTCACAGCCAACCGCTGTCATCGGTGTTTCAGTGCAAACTCCCACCCGCTTCGCTGCCTTGCCAGAACGAATGTCCAGTCTACAGGTGCACCTCCCTTTGGCATAACATAGATGTGGGTCATTTCCAAAGATCCCAAAGCCATTCCTATCCCAGCAAGCACCATAAGGCCACGCGTCAAAAAAGAGCTCGGTATAGATGAACAGGTTCCACCTGGACAGGTCACCACCTGTCACTTGTAAGTCTGCGAACACCTCCAGATGAGACCTGGACCCTCATCGGGTGCTAGGAGACTCTTGATGTTCACGGAGGTGGGTTTCCCTTGACCAACAGTTCTTTGCGGTTGATGTATCCCGATAAGAAGGATGAACTAGAGATAGGGGGTTTTGACCCCAAGTACAGCGAGTCTCTTGAACATCGATGCCTCACGGACCGATGCCGATGCCGACAGCGAGGCTTCAGGGAACTGGATGTGGGCCGCGAAGCTGCCGGGCGAGGGGCCTAAGATGTACGACATTGCCGAGGCAGGTGGCGCCCTCATCGGGTGAGGTGGCGCCCGTGAGGTGGCGCCTGGCGCCGCCAGGTGGATGCCCGTTTAGATATGATTGGAAGAATGATTGTTTTAATGGTCTGAATGCCATGGCGAAGCATGGATTTACGAGGGGTCTGTATACGCGACAGGCCACCACTGGGTCATCCATTCGTTTAATGGCCGATCTGAAGGCTTCACGGGGATGGTTTTGTGGGAGGTTTCGGTGGAAAAGGATGAGTTGGACTCCATGACCAGAGCCGGAGCTTGGATTTTTTCTGAATGAAGACATGTCTAATATCTGACGGTTTGAAATGTTCACGAAGCCATCCCCTGTGTGACACAGGTTTTTTTTCCATGGATTTCTCAGCGACTTGGAGTTCACCCTAAGAACTCCGGGCCCCTTCACCCCATTGGACGGGCGACCTACTCACCCAGACCCCTGTGGCCGTGGGAGGCGTTGAGCCACATCATGGTGGACTTGGGCATTGCCATCGACGGTGGCAAGGCCGATCGGGTCGCGCGGGAAGGATTCGATTGGTTCGATTGGTTTCATCACGCCTTGTAACGAAGGACCATTGAGTTCATTGCCTTGTAACGAAACCGCGCCATGAGGTTTTCTAAGGGTTTTGCACTACCAAACCATGGTCAACAATTCCAAAAATGGTCTTGGAAGTCTAGGAGTTCAGCCGGAATTCTGTCAAACTCAGCCCCCACCAAAGCTGCAATCTCCCGAATTTTTCGTCATTGACCCAGATCGGCGTGTGTGCCCGTGTGGGGCAGTGATTGTCAAGATGGTTGATTCATGATTGATTTCAGGGAATCACCAAGCCTTTTGGGGAGACTCATGGAGACTCTCTAAATGGAGCTCTTTGGCAGGGATCAGTCTGGTGAAACTCTTATCGTTCTTTTTCCTTCAGAAGGTTCATGGAGTTCAGGCTTGCAACAAAAGGGCATTACTCAAATGATTCGTTCATGAGCTTCGTTCGGCTGCAAATGCCAAGTAGCTCCGACCGGCGACCGGCAGACAACGGTCTCCCACAGTCGATTGCTAGCTGCTTTAAAGGACGGGACCTGGCCCGGTAGGCGCCAGCACCCTCTACCTATCCCAACCGGAAGCTCTGCGGACTTGGACTTGGAATACAGCGATGTGTAGGGACGGGTCGGCTCAAGTGGACCGGCGATTTCTCCAACTACTTTGAGGTGGCAGAGGTGGACCCGAAATCTGCTTTCGGTCACCACCTGCGACTGAAAAATGGACCACCTGCGAATCCAAAAGCTTTCAAATCTTGGAGACCTGGTTCTGTTGGAAGGTGCTGGCAAGGAGGCCATCTCCTTGCACCATCTTCACCCATCTCCTTTCCCAGGGTAGTTCCATGTGTAGTTCCATTCACCCCATGAAAATGACCAATGTAGGAAACTATTCCAGTCCCATGGATGGTTTGGGTTTGCCTCATTGGGGATGGTGTGCCAATTCACCTTCAGACAGCACCACCGACCTGGGCGACCAGAGCCGGCCTGGTTCTTCCGTTCGTGGCCAAACGTGATCCCCTGGTTACTGAGGAGGCCTGTTTCAACAGGGAGTCCAGGTCGCTTGGCCACGAACGGAAGAAGGTCACGAACATCCCATGTTCCTCCTCCCCTCGTTTCTCCCCCCTTTTGGTTTCCCGAGGACACCTGAAAAGTTCCAGGTGGCTTCGCCAGTTACCATTTCACCCTCCTTGCCCTCCAGGATTCCCTCTCTATGGCCGCGCGCGTGCCACTGGGCAATGGCCAGGTGCGGCGCCGCTTGCTTCGCTCGGTGGGGCACGGCTACTGGGCGGATCACCCTCCGTAGCGGATCACCTGCAGGTCACCTGCTGTGAGACCAGGTCAAGCACTTCAAAACGAAACAGGTCGATGTCAATCCTGTTCTTTTCCAAGAACAGCCCGTGGATGTCCTTCGGGACAGCTGTGGCGTGCCGGGGTGTACCCTACGCGCGCTCCGGGACGTGTTCTCCGATCCTTCGGCCGGATCGGACATCGCACAGGTGGAGACCGCCAAGAGCCCCGGGCAGTTCGTCCTCACGGTCTATGCGCCTTGGGCAGCGAGGGTCGACCGACCGACCGACCTCAGGGCGGAGTCCGCCAGTGTTCTGAGCGCAACAGCAACAGGCGGTAACAGCAGCGGCACTGATGGCACCGATGCCGAAAAGACACCGATGCCCACACTCGCAGTCCGCCAACGGGTCGCGGGATGTCGGCGTCTCGGGGTCGCAGACGTCTGGCCAAGCACCTCAGCCGTGCCACGTGCGTTGAGGCACCGGTGCCTGATGTGCGCATCAAGGCGAGGCGACGGAACGCTGCAGGTGGAAGATCCCAAGAACGGTGCGCTTCTTCCTTCGACCGACCGGACGAGTCCCTGCAAGTGTGTGACCTCAAACTAGTCCTGGGCCTGTTACCTGAACGGAGTAACTAGAGGATCAAGGTCACGATTGAACTGAAGAACCAGGAGGTTGCAACATGTTGTAACTATATAATCTCAGGACCCTGCTAGTGAATGATGACTGTACTCAGGACGAAGACTGTGCAGAATTCAGCAAATCTGGGCTATGTTCTCGTTGTGCGGGAGACTTGTCAGATCTTGTCCGTGCGTTTTCACACCCACAGATATCGACCGTCGTGGACTCCGTGGACCCTTCCTCAGGGCACCAGGAAAATGTTCATTTTCTCAGAGGTTTCAGACGTCCTACTCTTGACATAGTATAGTCACTATTCGTAACAAGGGCAACTGCGCCGAACTGCAACCCTCCTTGGGGTCAGTGTCTCGGACAACAGTTTCATGCCCCAATCGCGGATAAAACGCTTGCTCATCTGCAGAGAAACCCTCCTGAGGCAAACACTGATCAAGCCTTGGTCTTTGGTCTTTGGTATGCTTCAGCAGTATTCAGAAACATGGTCACCTGGAACATTCTGGAACTGTGGCACTCTGAAGATGTTGGATCTTTTTGACCCCATGCATGAGACCGGAATTTTAGATAGACACGATTCTGACTCCTCTCTTGACCTCCTTTGACCCGGCCCAAGCACCGGCCGCGGGCGACCCACGGACGAAGCCCTTGCGCGCCCCACGTCGCCCCATCGGCCAACCGAGCGCCTTGCTCTACGAGGCGACGCCGGACCTGAAGACGGCGGGCGAGGGCGCCTTGCTCTTCGTGGACCTGGGCGCTGGACCGCCCGGGAGCCACGGTCCATGACCGGTCGGCGTGTTGGACTTGACGCGCCGGCGCGCGCGGGCGACAGGTCACCTCCCAAGCTCGGAGACCAAGTCAGATGCTCCCCGAGATTCCGGATTGGATCCAGGCATCCAACCCAGTCAGGAAGGTTTGTGGATGACTTGCCCGACTTGCCCGAAGCACCTGTTTTTGTGGGGATTGGTGTTGACCCGGTTCCCCTTTCTTTCGATTGAATGGCTGTCGGTGTTTCGCTCTGGAAGTCACTCCAGCGGTGCGCACCGGAGGCGCAGCTGTGGAACGAACTCTTAGCCGCTGCACGAAAGAGATCCACTGTGCAGCCACAGATTTCACGAAACTCGGATCCTTTCGAAGAGACCCATTCTTTTTTAAAAATCAATTGGTTCATATTTTTTCTATACCAGGCTGGAGCTCCAACTACAACATCACCCCATCCATTATTGTCAATGACAGACTCTCGCATGGATGTCGACATGTGAATTCCCGATGGGCCATTTCCTTTTGGCCCGAACCCCAGATCTTCAGCCAGTTTGTGCTACGCTACCCGGAAAGAGCGCGATTCGATTTGTTGTGGCAGCTGCGTTGCACTTCGCTTCGATAGCACTTGGTTTCCTCAGTGGTGCGCGGAGCTCTAGTTGCGATCCTGGGCTCTTCTCGCTTCGCTTGCGCCTTGGCTCTGCTCTGCCAGTTCTCTTGCACCTTGGTGGATTCATTTGAGTTTCTCCTTAGGCCACGCGGTTTTGGGGTGACTCGTCTGGATTTTTCCACCGTGTTTTCACTTTGGTTCGAAAAGCGGACTACTTGACTTGCACCTTGGCCTACGACTGTGCCAACTTCCTTGCCTTTGCCCTTGGCATCCTCCTTGAAGAGGAGCTGATGGCTGCTGGTGGAGGCGAGGCAGAGAAGGGAGCGTGGTACCAGGTCCCGACCTGGGATGGAAGTCCGTTGACTTGGAGGAGCTTCCGTAGGGAGATGCGCTGGTGGGTGAGTTCCTTAGACCTTGCTGGAACGGCCCGCTACAACTTGGCAGCCCGCTGGTTGCTCAGGCAAACAGGAATAGTCAGGCAGCGGGGTGAAGAATTTGACCCTTCCGAATTAGCATACAAGCCAGCTGAATCGTATGAAGATCCCACTTCAGGAGAGACCATTGAAGTGACACCAGCTGACTACCTCTTTGGACTCAACAAACTTCTTTCTGCCTTAGAGTCCATTAATGGACAATCGGCATTGGACAAACGTGGGGAACTTCGAGCACAGTTCTACACTGACTTGAAACGTGCGCCGGGAGAACGCTTGTCTGAATTTGCGACTCGTTTTCGAACACTTGCTGCCGATTTGAAAGCTGAAGGTGTTGTGATTCAAGAGGCCGAGCTTGGCTGGTTCTTCAAGGACAAGCTCGGTCTCGATCCTCTGCGGAAGCAGCTGCTTGACACGGCCCTTCAAGGTCGTGAAGACTACAATGTGATCGAGGGTGAAGTTCTCAGGCTCTTTAAGGACCTGCACCTTGCTGACCCTCTTCAACGTCGTTTTGAGCGTCAGGGTGATCGGCCTAAGTTGACCATTCGCAGGTTGTTTCAATCTACTCGCCCCACTTCTTCTTCGGCGTCTTCAACTACTAGCCGAAGTCCTTCTATGTTCTCGTCGAATCCTTCTACCCGTGGTCCTTCTTCCTCCCCACCTTCGACCCGTCGTGCTTTCGTTGCCGAGACGGCGCAGGAAGCCGATGACTGGGAAGTTCCTCCTGAGGAGGTGCTTGCCACTGTTGCGGAGGAGGAGGACGGCGGAGAAGAGCAGAATTTGGAGGCGTTCATTCAGTCAGAAGCCGAAGTGTTGGCCACGGAACTTCATGAGGCGGAGGAGAGTGGCGTGAACCCTGAAGCGCTCGAAGAGCTAGAATCAAGTTTCGAGCAAGCCGCTGAAGCCTTGGTCACTATGCGTGAGGCCAAGACCAAGCTTCAGGAGCTTCGCAAAGATCGTGGATTTGGAAAGCCTGGCTCACAAGGTGGCGGCCGGTCGAACACCGGCGTTCCGGCAGCCCGAAAGGCATCCGGCAAGCACCCATGTTTTGACTGTGGGATGCACGGTCACTGGGCCGGAGACAAGGAATGCTCTAGACCTGGGGCCGGCATTGGGCGCAAAGGCGCCGGCAAGTCTGGAGGAGGAAAAGTGCGACCAGTGCGAATTGCAGAAGTTCTTCAAGCAGACCATGTCGGTTCCGTTGAAACGTTTGGGGAAACTCCTTCATCGACTTTGACATCCGGTGACCCTGTTTCTTCTTCTTCGCCCCCTCATGAAGTACATGTTCTTGAGAGTGGTTATTTGAGTTTGGAGCAAGCGCTTGAGCAGTCATTGCAGGGTTCTTCGCATTCGACTTTGTTGTCCTCATCCGGCCAGGTCCTTGCCGAAGACAAACATTTGGTGGGAGCCTTGGATTCCGCATGCAATCGCACATGCAGCGGGCCTAGATGGCTGGAAGGCTATTTGAAGCAAGTCCGAGAAGGACCCACTTGGATTCATTCACTTGTTTCTCATGTTGAAGAAGCAGAGCGCTTCAAGTTCGGCAATGGCGGATTAGCGCCTAGTTCGAAGCGCTGGCGTTTGCCTATGTGTATCGAGGGTCGAGTGCTTCTTGTTTGGGTGAGTGAGGTGCCGGTAGCCTCCTTGGGCCTTTTATTAGGCCGGGACTTCTTGGATGCTGTCGGAGCGATCCTCGATTTCTCCAAGCGGACCCTCCAGTGTGTCAACCTTTTTGCTGATTCAGGCCGTACTCTGGAGCTTCGTCAGATGGCCGCGGGGCACTTCATGTTGGAGCTTTTGCCGGATTCCTGGCCAAGGCTCGGACCTGGACGTTGGAGACGGATCGGTCTGGATGGTATCGTCGAGCTTCAATTGACTCCTCGTTCCTGGTTGGACCGCAAGATTGCTGAGGGTTCCATTTGTTTTGGAGAGATTACCCATGAACATCTTTTGCTAGAAGGAAGCGTTGCTGCTGGTGAAAGTTGTTTGAAATGGCATGAATCCTGCACGGTTTGTCTTTTGCCTTCCTTGGTTCACAGCATGACGTGCGACCCTGTGCGTTTGATGGTTCGTGGACTTCTTCAACTACCAGATCGACTTCGTGCAGAACTTAGTCATCAAGGACTTCAGGATGGCCCAGTTGACCTTTGCCCAACGGATGGAGAACCAGGAGTTACAACCTCTGGACCCTCTCACTCCTCAGCTGCTTCGGACATTCCAGGAGGTCAACACCAAGGCCATCGTGCCGTACCGCTGGAACCGCTTCATCTTGCGCGTACTCGATCGAAGACAATGGCACGCTCGAAGCTTGCTCATCCAGTTCAACTCGCGGTCACACTTGCGGTACTTGCCTTTTCCCTACCCGTCGGTGATCTCCGTGGAACAGTGGGTCTTGCAGGCCCAATCCATGGTGAATATGGGTGCCATGAGTCGAAGGCATCACGCCCTGGCCTTGGAGATGGGGCGCTTTACGGCGACCAACCTCATCGAACTCGGTCGTCTTCGCGATCGTTGTGGCTGGAAGATGGCGTTTGTGGAAGATCCTCTGTTGGCTGGGTTCTTGGCGGCTCGCTCTCAAAAGGGTCAGTTGGCCCGGTTGAAGGCGGCAGCCTTGGAGGAAGCGAAGGCCAAAGTCGCAAAGGAGACGGCAGAGATGGATCGCGAGATTTTGGCTCGCCAGTTGCTTGGTCCCAGGGGTGGCTTGCCTACCTTGCGGGCCGATTTGGTTCGTTTGGCCTTGCTTCTCAATCTGACGCCGTCTCCCAAAGAGACAGTGCCTCAACTTCAAGCTCGAATCCGACCCCTTGTGGAGATCCTGAAGAGCAAACCGGCTGTGAAGCAATCCGATGTTGGTCAGAAGATACCGGCGGATCCGCCTCGTCTGTCCACTCCGTCCTCATGGTCAGCTGTGAGCTCCATGAGCCCGCCGAGAGCACCAGAGCTTCGTCAACAAGACGGCTGTCCTTTCCCTCAGGAGCTTCATCAAATGGAACTTCGAGTGCAGCAGATGATGGAGGCTCAGGACTCCCGCTTCCAAGACATGCTGAAGCAAGTGTTGAAGACAGTGGCGGAGGGACCTCACCTCTCGGCAGCGGCTGGAGCCTATCCCATGCCGTCGGAACATCCTCCCGGCGGCTTCGGGGAGCAAGTCATGGATCTCACGGGCGAGGATTGATGGACGCCAAGGAGGTGGTCAAGGATGACTTCAAGATCTCCGGAAAAGTGAAGCCTGGCATCCGACAGATGATCTCGCAGGCGTGGGATCAGCATCGACGTGATCAGTTGGCTATTTCTGTGGGAGCCGCTGAGGTCAATGAGATCTTCTTGGCTTCATGGGACTATGAGATGAAGAATGCCATGAACGAGACCTTCGCCTTGGAGGTGCAGCTTCCTTCTCCTTTCGTCACCGAGATTTACACAGACACTGAGCCAGTCGCCAAAGCGGCTCGTCGACAAGGTTTGTTGGCAGGTGACAGTCTCACCTTAAGCAGTGGTTGGGATTTTCGTCTTGAACACCACCGGAAGAAGGGCATTTTGAAGGTTAAGGAGACCAAACCCTACCTCGTTATCCTTGCTTTTCCTTGCGGGCCATGGTCTCAACTCCAAGCCTTGAATCCTGCGCATGACCTTCAGCGCATGAGAGAAGAGGCATTAATTTTGGCGCAGTTCGCCATTGAGGTGGCCCAACTTCAGCTGCGTGGCAAGCGCCACTATCTGATGGAGAATCCACGCGGATCTCTCGCTTGGAAGTTGGAAGTTCTTCAGACCTTCATGCTCGAGACGGATGCCTTGACCGTGACTGTGGATATGTGTCGCTTTGGTCTTCGTGCTCTTGACGGAGAACTGCATCGTAAGGCCACTCAGCTTGTGACCTCTATGCAAGCGCTTGTGTCCGCCTTTTTGGACAAACGATGCACTGGAGACCATCCTCATACTCCTGTGATGGGTGGAAGCAAAGTGAGTTCAGCTGCCGGGCACTACACGCCTGAGTTTGCGGAGTCTGTCGTTCAAGCGGCTTTGAAACAGCATGATTTTGAGACTTCGATGTTGGTCCGTGCGGATCTCAGTTCCTTTGATGTCCTGGAGGTGGAACATGAAGTGCTTGTCACTGGTGAACCAGGTCGAGAGGACGATGAAGTCTCTGATGCTTCTTTTGAGTTCTCCAAGGAGGACGATGCTCTCGTGATCCCGACGGCAGTCAAGAATGCGGTCTACAGACTGCACGTGAATACAAGCCATCGCAGCAACCATCGCCTAGCCAGAGCTCTTTTGATAGCAGGCGCTCCAAGAGAGGCAGTGCTGGCAGCCAAGCGGCTGAAATGTGCGGTGTGCGCTGAGCGCAAACTTCCTCGAGCACGACCTCCTGCCTCACTTCCTCCCCCTCGAGATGTTGGACAACAAGTTCATATAGACTTGGTCATGTTGGAAGACTCACTTCGCAACCCTTATGTGGTGGCCCACGCCACAGACAATGTGTCGAGGTTTCAGGCTGCGCAAGTCTTGGGAGACAAAAGCACCAATTCAGTCATCAGGTTCCTGACGGTGCATTGGCTCCCACTGCTTGGTCGCCCCAGCACCATCGTCGCTGATCAAGGTCGAGAATTTGTCAGTGCTGAATTTGGTGATTGGTGCGATGCCCAGTCGATTTACCTCTACCACATTGGGGTTGGCGCCCCTTGGCAGAATGGTATCTGTGAGAGATCGGGAGCGACGCTGAAAGCGCTGGTTGGTGCTACTGTTCAGTCTCATGCCATTAGCAACTTTGAAGAGATGGAGATTGCCCTAAGTGAGGCGGTGTCCGCCTACAACGCTGATGTGAACGAGGCTGGTGTTGCTCCAATTCAGTTGGTGACAGGGAGAATGCCCACGCCAGGCGGCGATGTTCTCAATGGCTTCGCATCTCGACTTGCAGAACACTCACTGATTGAGGCAAAACCCACGATGGCAAAGTTGCTTGCGATAAGGGAGACTTCGAGGCTCTCGATGATTCGTCTTCATTATAGTCGTGGACTGCGCCAAGCTGAGCTCGCCCGTTCGCGGGCCACCACCGCAGAGAATGTGCCTCAGCCTGGGGACCTCGTCTTTTTCTGGAGGGCTCAGAAATATCAGTCCAAGAAGGACATTGGAGCTGGGTCAAGGCGACGCCTTCTTCTTCGTCGGTGGCATGGTCCTGGATTGCTGGTAGCGCTTGAAGGGAAACATGGTCTTGAGCTGTCGGCCAACTGCTTTGTTTCCTTTCGAGGTCAACTCGCGAAATGTCCGCTAGAGCATGTGAGAAAAGCATCATCCTTGGAAAGTATTGCCGCCGGTTCTTGGGAGGCTGCCATTGATGAGGTGATCCAGGCTGCAAAGAAGGAAGCCCCTGAGCTGATTGCTGATGACGTTCATGAACATGATGAACCACCTGTTGACCAACCTGACGATCCACTTCAGCGAGCCCTACAACCTTCCGAGATTGTGGCTGCTTTGCAACCTCCCGCGTCAGTTGTGCCTTCTCTGATTGGGAGATCCTCTCCTCCTTCCTTGAGCATGGATGCACAGCATGTTGATGATGCACCCAGTTCCGCCGCTCCTGGAACACCGGTGCCAAGCTTGATCCTGCAGGCTTCCCAAGCTGGAACTACTTCTCCTGCCGGAGCTTCTTTGTCACGAACCTTGGAGAGGGCTCGAGCTTTGGATGAGCAATCCATGGAGGCTGAGCGCGGTGTCACGCGACAATTGGAAGAGTCATCGCCTGCTGCCGGTACCAAGCGCCAAGCCGATGAGAATGCAGCTTTGCTGACTCAGCATGTTGCCTTGCCGGCCTTTGAAGCATTGGTCTTGACTCATGGTGAGTTGCAGTCCTTGTCGGAAAGAATGGATGTGCACCCTCTTCTACGACTTCAGGCTCAAGCTGATTTGGACCGCCGTGAAGGTAATGTCCTCTCAGAGCCTGAGCATGGTACTTGGGATGGGCGTTGGGCTTTTCTTTGTGAACGGGATTGGCACCTGTTGCGAGAGCTTGGCCTACAGCTGCCCAATGGAGCCGCTTCTCATGATGCTCTCTCCGTTCAGGCCTCTCGGAAAGAAAAGATTTGGTCCAAAATGACTCCTGAAGAGCAGAAGCTTTGGGGAGATGCCGCTATGAGTGGTTGGAACGTCTATGTGGACAACCAGGCGGTGAAGGTGTTGACCCTTGAAGAAAGCGCCAAAGTTCGTCGTGATCTGGCCAGACGGAAAGAACTTGATCGCATTCTGGTTCCTAGGTTCGTCTGCACCGACAAGCACGATGGCCTCAGAACGGCAACCAACCCTTTGCCCATCAAGCCGTCTTCGAGACTGGTCGTCCCTGGTTTCCGTGACCGCACCAACTTGGAAGGAAATCTCCGACGAGATGCACCTACCGGATCCCGACTGGCTCAACACATTTTGTTTTGTGTAGCTGCTTTCCACAATTGGTGGGCCATCATCTCCTCGGATGTGAAGAGTGCCTTCCTCAAAGGTGATCCATACATTGACCGAGAGCTCTACATTTGTAACTCCAACTCCAAGACCTCTCCTTCTTTGCCTCTTAAAGCTGGTCAGCTTTGCCGTGTGTTGAAGGGGGTATTTGGACTTGCTGATGCTCCCAGAGAATGGTGGAAGCGGTTGTCACGTTCCATGGATGAACATGGATGGACTCGCACCTTGGTTGATGGTGCAATGTGGTGTCTTTGGGGGAAAGCCGATGACGCTGCGCAGAGCCGTGGCATTCGTCCCTTGGAAGGCATCATCGTGGCGCACGTGGATGACCTTCTCTTCACTGGAAGTCCTACGGCAGAAGCTAGCTTGCAAGCGATTGGCAGTGAGCTTGGTTTTGGCAGTCAAGATCGCAATGATTTCACTTGGTGTGGGAAGCGAATTCGTCGAGCCTCAGATGGAACGGTGCGACTGAGTATGATTGAGTACCACCAGAACTTGCAGGAGATCTTCCTTGCTCGGCATCGCAAGGGGAATGTGAACTCTCCTCTTGATGCTCATGAACACCGACAGCTTCGCGCGGTGCTTGGAAGCCTCCAGTGGCTTGTGGCGCAGCTGAGATTCGACTTAGCTTTTGGGGTGTCTTCCCTCCAAGGTGAATCTCCCCCCACCATAGGATCCATCCTCCGAGCAAATTCGTTGGTTCGAGAGTTCAAGAGAACGGGTGATTTTGAGTTGATCTTTAGACCAGTGGATTATCGCAGAGCTGGAATTGTGGCAGTATCGGATGCAGCTCTTGGCAATGTCAAGGTAGACGGCTCGAGTGAAGGCAGCGCAATCGAGAAAGTCTATTCTCAGGCATGTCACTTCATTCTGCTCGGGGATGAAGCCCTCACTCAGGGACGCTCTGGCATTTTCAACGTGATCGACGCTCGCTCACATCGCATTCCCAGAGTGTGCCGTTCCTCGTACGGCGCTGAGACGTTAGCGGCTGAGGAATCTTTCGACATGGGCCAGCTAGCTCGTGGTTTCGTTGCTACTGTTTTGGGAAAGGAGATGCTTGGCCCCAAAGCAGACTTGAGCATGAACAGTGTGCCCTTGACCGGGGTGGTGGATGCAAAAGATGTTTTCGATAAGTCCAATTCTGACACAAGTTTTGGAACCCAAAAATCGTTGGCATTTAGTGTTGCTTGGTTGCGCTCCGTGCTTCGCCGACCAAACACCAGTTTGCGTTGGACTGCCACCACCAACATGTTCTGCGACGCTGGAACGAAACACATGGACCTCACCCACCTTCGGAAGATTCTGAGTAGTGGAACTTGGAGCGTTTCATATTCACCTGAATTTCAAAAGCAGGTTGCCAAGGGCAAAGCGCCCAGGCCTTCAACTGCTTCAGCATGCGCTGTGTTTCCGGGTGACCGCTTGAAGGCGGATGATCCTTTGCTCCCGCATCTCACCCATTTGAGTGAGAAGAGAGGTTGGCATGCCATGAATGGACTCGGTATCCAAGTTGCATTTAATGCACGATCGTACAGAACGCCTGAGCCCAGGTTCAGTCCGGAAGAGTTGCCACTCCGATCAACCTTCGGACGTTTCTCCAAAGACGGTCAGAGTTTTTGGCATCGTTTGGAAGGAGCTGTTGAGTTTACGAAGCTGTCGAACCAGCACCAGCTCATTGACATGACGGTGCCAATTCTGATTACCTTGTTCCATCCACGCTCGAGCCTGTCATTTCTGCCTACTCTTGAGCAAGAAAAGAAGAAAGATGAATGTCAATGACAGACTCTCGCATGGATGTCGACATGTGAATTCCCGATGGGCCATTTCCTTTTGGCCCGAACCCCAGATCTTCAGCCAGTTTGTGCTACGCTACCCGGAAAGAGCGCGATTCGATTTGTTGTGGCAGCTGCGTTGCACTTCGCTTCGATAGCACTTGGTTTCCTCAATTATAGTCAAAAATACAACTGCCCAAAAGATGAAGTTCTCAGAGTCGAAGAGTCGAGTTCGTGACTCCCGGTCACGCTGCGTTTCCTGCAGCGTTTGACAATACAAATCCCCCCAGAATGCCCTGGTTTTGCATATGTAGAGTGATGTGTTATGTTCCCCACCTGGAGTCTCAAAGTACCTTTGAACATAGTTACCGTGGTACCAAATATATTTGTTACGGATCATGTCCCACTTTCTAAGGTACAACCGGTCAGTCGGGTCCCAAAGAAGCCGAGTGAAAGAGCCTATGAGCCTACGAATGAATTCCCGGTTTTCTTGGGAATATTTATATGTTCAGGTATTTGAGGGAGCCGCAACTTCCCGTTTTGGGCACCAATCGCACCTTTCCCCCTTTGAGGCCGGTGCTGGGCGGTTCCGCGCTGTCGCAGGCCGCCAAGGGAGGTCAAAAAGAGCCTTCAGAGGGGATCATCTACAACCGGGGCTAGACTATCACCCTTCATGCAACACTTCTTGACATGTTGTTTTTTGACACGGGTTCATCGGAGAATACATTTCACCTGGCATGTTTCTACCACTAGCACCATGTGAGCACCACTCGCTTGATGTTACGTCCGGAGAACCGACGGACTGTCCGGTCACTGCGCCATGTGCCTGTTGATGTGCCTTGACTGAAACACGGATGATCTGAAGTGAGTCACTGCTATCTCCTCCAGGTTATGACAGTATCAGGGTGGCTTCAAGCTTGCAATCCATGTTTCGACCGAACAGCCTTCGTCGCCCCTCAGGTCAAGCGCAGCTGATAACTCCTTCCAGGGTGTTTTGGTCCGTGAAAAGGGATCCATGCAGTCTATTTGTTTCTGGTTGAATGTACCGTGTGCCACATCAGCTCCTACCCTTTGATCAAAGGTCCTCCTCCCTCCTCCCTGCTCGACGCAACAAAACCATGACCCCAAATCCTCAAGAAGCAGCCAGTGCTTGCTGTTTCGCACCACCTCTGCTCCCTCCCTTGCATCGTATACCCCTTTACGCCTATAGCCTTTACGCCTATCATCATGGACCCACCATGTCCGTACCCTTCTTCATCACCCCCTTCCTCTTTGGGCGTCCCAACGACCTCCAACTCCATCCGCGGCACTCGGTTTAGTCGCCTGCGGGGTCTCCCGCGCTGTCCATGTCTTCGCCCCGGTCCCCAACGGTCCAGTCCGCGGCCCAGCGGCCCGACGGGCCAGGTGTTCGGACAGTTGGGCTGTGGGCCCTCGCCCAAAGTGGACTCCAAGGCACTCAAGGCCCGAGCCGAGCCGTTCTTGGAGAGTGTGGAGAGCTGAGCTGGGTGCGGTGGCCGTAGTAGGGGTTGAGCTGGTGGAAGTGGGATCGAGCCGTGTGGCGACTGTGGAGAACTGGGTGGCTTAGGGATCCACGGAGCTGGTGGCCGAGTCTGAGTGGCCAGGACGCACAGAGTCGGTCGACGGGGGTGTCGGTCGGTTCAAGCACTTGGTACTCATCCGCATTCAGAAGTGACCAATCATAGGATAGCAGGAAGATCTGTGGATCTTCAGATGAGGAAGAGATACTAATCGACATTCAGAAGTGCAGTTGATCTTCCAATCTCTTCCTCAAGCAAAGCAAGGTCGAGATTTTAAATCCTCTAGACTTTAAACGGTTTTGGAAGAGGTACCTTCCCCGAACGGTTCGGCCATGGTGGGCGATTCATGGCATGGGATTTGGGGCCATTTTCTGAACCAAAGAGAGGTGGGGTGAACTCATTCCACTAACATGCGAGCTTTCCGAGTGTCGATGTGGTCGAACAGCGAGGTTTGGACTCCAAGACGAACCCCAGTCCGCCAGCACCCGACTGAACCAGGTCTCCAAGTCCACCAGCATCCAACTAAACCAGGTGGTTTTTGGACACCTCTAGACACCTCTTGGAGGGTCCTGAAACAGAGTCAGGCTTTTTGATGCAGACTTATTCCTGGTAGAGGGTCGCTGGCGGGATCCATTGGGCATTGGAACATCTCGCTATTGGCTCGAGCCGCAGCGCCCCTTGCAGTGGGGATTGTTTTGAGGTGTTGGAATGCTTTCAACAACAAACGCGTGGTGGATGAAGTTTTGGAAGCCAGGTGATTACCTCAAGTTATCCCACAGTAGCGAACTTGAATGGATCTTGACTGGAGTGTTCTGGGCAGATCGTGAGAACTGATATATATATATATATGTATAAAAACAATATATATATATATAATATGCAAGTGGGTGAAAGGTGATTTCCAGGCCACTGTGGTGGAAGAGTCACCATCAAGAACAAACACTGAAGAAAGCACACTGGAGCTAAGCTACAAAAGCGGCTAGGCTGCTTCTTCGGGCCCTTGATCAGACCATTTTACATCCGTTCCGAGGCTTTTCCGCCCTTCTTCAGACCTCAAAGCCGCAGCCCTTCGACGCATAACGGTCCTGCAGTGAAAGTGCTTCCTTCATTGGTCCAAGTGACTGCTTCGACCAGGTGTCCTATGTCCATAGCCTGTCTACCAGGTCCATGTTCGCACCAGCAGCGATCTCAGAAGGGTCCGAACCGGGGTCGGTCGCAGCCCATGGCCATGTTTGAGCGGGAACCCGATCCTCGCAGCGTGACGGTCACACAGGCGCGGTCACTCATCACGCGTAGCGCGTGGAAGGACGACTGGGATGGGTTTCTGCGAATCAGTTATACATACGGCCGCTTCACCGGGTTCCTGGAATGGTTTTGGCCGAAGAGCACCATTGATTGACGGATTTTACACTACAAAACCATGTCAACCTCTCATTTGAATTGAATAATTGTCTTGGAAGACTAATTAGGGTCAAGGCCTTGGCTTTGGGGATGTGTGGTGATCCACAAGTAGATCAACCACAAGTATAGTGGATTGAAAGTAAATGGCACAATCCTCAAGTTAGGTGGTTGATATGGACCTCCATCTTTTCAAGATATCTTGGGGGCTCAGTGCCATCTACTCCGGTGACCCACAAGTAGATCAAACAGATGGAACATGTCAATCACCGTTAGTCAACCGTTAGTCAGGCGGACATGATGTACCCACTCAAGGATGACTACCAGGACCCACAAGGGGTGGTTCATGTACTCCCCTAAAGACCTCGAGGGTGGTACCCAAAGAACCTGCGGAGGGTCCGACCACTACCGTGCCAGGTCCAAGTATTCTTAGGGTGGTAGAATGCTTACTTTACCTTTCAGTCAGATTGGCGAGGGAAGACTGGCGGAGTTTGGGTCGTTCCTGCAATGGATGTGGACCTGATGTGCATATACCGTGTACCTTAGAGATGGCCTGGGCCATGCCTCGGAACCAAAAACCACTGGACCCCAAACGTCAAGTGACCGAACCAACGTCTCGGGGGTTCAAGTTCGGTCGGAAGAACGGCTGCAAAAGGCGGGTCGAGGGAACCACGATGAACACGGGTACCCACCGGTACCGGTAGCGACGGCGAGGTGTCAGTCGTGCCTAGTTAAAGGCTGTAGCTTTGGGCCGCTACCCATGGACCCCATCCAAAAGACATCTTGGGAGCCCAGTGCCATCTACTCTGAACCACTGCAAACTAGCTCTTAATTCTTTTTCCGATTAGGGCTTCCTATTGATTCCAGATGGTCCCATGTCTTCAAGGTATTATTTTTGTGCATGGTGCGCATGGTTTGGGGCCAACAGGCAATGGAAGACATTTCTCCTCTACCAGGAGTGTCTATAAGTAGCCTCTTTGAGGTTAAGTGGTGTCCAAAAACCACCTATTGGAGGGTCCTGGTATATATTCGGCTTGTTGATAGAGGATAGTTTTTGACTCACTCTCACACCTACTGAGTCCTACAGGGCTGTGCTTTGAGGAGCCGCCTGTGCTCTCCCATGTCATCCGGTGTGATGTCATCTGGACCTTCCAACAGGTCACCACCTGTGACATTTCAAGTCTGCATACTAGCCTCCATTTCGGAGACGTCTTGGAAGGTCCTGGTAGATGGAGGGTACCTTTCCCCAGATGTGCGTCATGTCGCCACCGGAGCCGCGTCAGATCACCTCGGGAGCCGACGCAGAGGCAGGGCACTGGTTGATGCTGTTCGGTTCGGTTCTCGGGCTGTTTGAGTGTTTGAGACAGAACTCCATGCTCCTCCCCTTTGGCCAACCCTAGAAGCTCTTGACGAAGTTGGACTGGTAATTACAACATCAATCATCACGTCTGGTCCTTTCAACTGCTACTAAGAGAAGTTTCTTTTGTGACCTGAAAAAGGACCCATCACCTGGATTCCCTATCTGGGATAGTCTATAGTATACCCTATACATTCCAAGAGCATTTTAAGTATGATCTACTGTAAAGTTCTCAGTAAGACCACGATTCTTCGGGATTCCTCAATTCATGCTGGGCCAAGAATCCGAGGGCACGGTGGAGTGAAAGGCCACGGAGGCCACGTCTCCAGGACGAGCGGGTGCTCTCGGCCGCCTTTGCAGAACTGGCCGCCGAGGCCGCATCCGGATCCGTCGACAGATTCCGGATCCAGGCAACCTACCGAAGTCAGTGCACATGAACCCTTTGGCTCCAAAAGGCAAGAACAGGGTGGAGTTCCTGCCATCTTCCACCTTTCGTCCGATCGTCATCGGGGACGTCCGCAACGAAAAGCACCCTAGGGATCCCATCGTACCGTACCTCAGAAGCTACTTGGACCCTCCGAACCTACATAAGCGTGTCTCCTTCCTCACCTTCTAAGAAGGTACTTGGATTTGTAGGGATCCATATAATACTATCACATACTTATACAAGACTATAACACGGGACCGATTCGCGATTGGTGTTGTTCTGTCCTTGAAAACCACCGCGCGGAGCCCGACGGATCGTGCCTGCGATGCGAGGCCTCGGAGATCGAGCGCACCGCGATCGCCTTGGACCGTGCAGAGGAGACGGAGCAGGTGCGACTGAGTGAGGAGAGGAGACGGAGAGAGGTGCGTCCTGTTGACGGAGATGGTTCGCCAGACACGACTTAATTGAGTGGGATCTCTTTTTTTGGATATATGAGGCAGATTGACTGTATATGCTCCCCCAAGCCCAATGTCACGAATGTAATATGGCATCGAAGTATGTCCCAGACATATCCAGACATGACTTATAGAGGGGACTGCCATATTTGCCGAGAAAAGGCGGTAGATGTTGAAGCTGGACCCACACGGGGTCACCTAACGCCGCGTGGCGTTCGCGCTGAAGCCCGCGCCGAGGCCTTGTCCGTGTACCGGCAAGCGGCGGAGCGGATGGCGAAGGCCGCCGCTCTGTGCCCGGAAGGCGCCCCCACCGCCCACGGCGTTCCAACGGGGTGCGGGCTGTGCCATGCTGGAGGTACGAGGCCAAAGACCACAGTACGTTGTTTTGTTGGAGGTTGGTAGGTATCAGGTATCACTAGATGTAGCACCTTGATTTTTGCAAGGTTTTGACAGGACCCTGAGATCTGAGTTTCCGACGTCCGAAGGAGGTGAGAGAGGACTCGAGAGGATCTTTCCAAATGAACTGGCTGACTGGACTTGGTGCAACCGCCACACTCGCAACTTTGGGACACGTGAACTGGAACTACAGTAGTTGGTTTTGTTGGTGATTTTCCCTCTGGGTTACCTGCCCCTTACCTGCAGACCCAAAACCTGTTCAGTGATCAGGTTTCGGGTCTTCTTGGAGGCGTTTTTTCAGCCTCAAGCCTCGAGGACCTGGTTTAGTCAGTCAGGTTTTTATACCCCGAAAAAGGGTGGTTAATGATAATGGACACCCCTTAAAATCTAAGTGAAACGTGTTGTGACTCCTGATGAACGATTGGATGAAGAAGTTGATGGAGCCATCAAAAGAAGCCCCTTAGGGGGTTCCTGGTTTTTCTAGCTCCTGAAATCCCAACCCTGCATGGGTCCTTTCAGGTGATTCTCAGCACCGGATTGGGGAGTCGGAAACGAGTTCGCCGCAACATCTGTAGCTCATAAGGTGCCAGAGTCAGAGTCTTCCGGAAAGCGCCAACCTAAGAACTGTAGTTGGTGGAACAAGGACTTTTAGAAGTCACAGGCCTCTTCAATTTTGGCACCACACCCACAGATTCTTTTCCGAGTCGGTGTTGCTTCAGTGTCAGTGCTGTGAACACCTCCAGTCGACCCACCTCCGCCCCGCGCTATGAGGCAACCCGGACCGTGCCATGTTGGTCAAGCATGCCGGGGAGGCGCCGGCACCTCTTTCTGACGTGGGACAGTGATTGAGGCGTAGTGGCAGTTAAGCTTTGGATCCCTCAAGTGCACATCCCAAGTTCCGAGAGGTTACAACCCTATAGGCTGCTTCAAAAACGAAGCTGCGCCTTGCTCCAGTGCCAAACCGCCTCTCAACCGATCCAGCGAAAGATCTTTAAAGCTTACAGTAAATCCTACCTTATAATATATAGAGGGATCCATGGCCACCTTCTCAGAAGGTACAACTGGACCCTCAAAGCCTACATAAAAGTGTCGAACACGTCACATCACCATGATCACCTTCTGAGAGGGTATGCGGATCCATAGGGCAAGACATCTTCCAGATTCTCTCTTGTTCCTAAAGGATTGTCAGGGGTCTTAGGGAGTCTTTGTGCTCTTCACAGACTTATGCCACAGAATGTGAGTCATCGCACAATCAAAGGAATCACTCTTGATACCACAAGTCGTCTCGCATGCACGGCGTGTTTTTGGATCTTGGATGATCTTGGTGTTCTTAAACTGGTCCGTCCGCAAACCAATAGGGGTTGGGCATGCACGCTCTGGCCACGTGAAGGAGCTGTTGTGAAGGTTTGTACTGGTCTTTTGAGGTGTTGGAACCAACGCCCTCAGCAAGTAATTCTCAACTAGTGGCAGTTGGGTTTCCAATTACATTCCCCAGATTCACCACGAACCAGGTGTCTTCTAGTTTTGAGACCCACACACACAGACACATACACACACTTGATGTATTTCAAGGTTCGTCTCTCAGTGGTCTCAAAAAACACGAGGAAAACCAGCAGTTCCATGGAGGAACTGGGTGCCAAGCTTGGAGGAAGTCGGGGGTGCTCCTGTCACATCTACGGCCCCTGGATGGGATTAGAAACCACTCCTTACTCCTTTGGAACTGAAGTCTTCCGATTCTCAACATCGGCATGTACTAACACCCGACTTCACAGGTCTCCGATGTCGGAGGCTTTAAAAAAGAGTGGAGACCTTGTTCACTGACAAACAGACCAGACCAGCCTAGCATCCGACGTGACCCCAAAGACCGATGGATGTGTCGACTCGTGTTCGGTCCCTTGCGGTGCCTCGATCGATGAAACAGAGAGAAAGGTGATCTAATAGATAGTAGCTTCTTGTTACACTTGTAGTAATGATAGTAATGGCGCTCCACTGGTAGTAGCTTCTTGTTCCTAGTAGCAATGCCAAGAGCTACTGGTAGCTTCTTGTTACTAGTAGAGAACAACACTTGAATCGTGCCTTCTTGAAACAGCTAGAAATGGCAGCAGTGTTTCCAATGTGTGTGAAGTTTCATCCCTCCTAAGCCGGAACCCTCCGAACCAGGTAGTAGGGATACGCCTGGGAGGCGGCTTTTTCCAGCTGAATCTCTTCCTGTTTCCAGATTCTATCAATGTCTCGTAGCCACCCACTGTCTCCCTGCCCTCCTCAACCCCCCTGCGACTCGACGTCGCCTTTGAAAAAACACCCTCGCCGAAGTCTCCGAAGTCGATGAAAAACACCTGGAACCGACCGGAGACCCGGAACCTGCCGTGCCCAAGACATACAGTATGTCTTTGGGAACCCCCACACCCGCCATCTCGCCATCTCGCCCGCGGCGCCGCCGTGCCGCGGCTCTCTGTGGCGATCAGATCTACGGCCGCGTCGTGTACCTCGAGAGCTTGGGTGAAGGCGCCCTCGCCACCGTGCCACCCGAGGCGGCGGTGGGGGAGTGCGGTGGCGGAGTGCACGGTGGGTCAGGGCGGTGACCAGCGGAGAAAACCGCTGGTTGAGGTGGTTGGAACGGCGGTGGTTTGATTGGATGGGGAGGAGGGCACATAGTTAAACCCAATTGAATGGATTTGAAGGCATGTGAATGTCGTGTCGAAAGAGGGGAGGACGATCAATGGGTGTCTTGACATGTTGGTGATGCCAAAACAAGAACATGAATCCTCCACTTATAGTAGTCTTGGACCATCCTGTCTGGGTGTCCTGGCTGGACTACCCATAATACTACTCGGACAGGATAGCCAGACAGGATTGTCCAGGTAGTCTTGGGCCAAACGACTTCTGGCACTTCCTGCAGAAGTCTTCGTCACCTGCTAGACGTAGCGCAGATCTACCCGATCACTGCTATTCAGGATCCCAGGCGGCCCACGATATGGGCAGGAACCAGGACAAACCTTTCTTTTGGCAGGAACTAGTGGTTTGATGTGGTTTGCCTATGTTTGCCTGCTAAAGATAGCTCTGCCGGGTGTCAACAACACCCGATTTCTTCGACAAGCACATCGTTACATCGTCCCAACGCTTGCTGTGACCGAGGCGCACATTGGCAGTGACAGCTTGGTCTTGGGCCACGGTGTGGAAAGACAGGAGAACTTCCGCCGATCGGGGTTTGCAAGGGCTTTGAAGAGGGTTTCAAGGTCTAGGGCCGATCGGGTGATCTCTATTTTCCCGAATGGGGGTTTTCATCCCCTGGCATGGGGAACACTCTTTCACTTTTTCACGGTTCCTGGACAGCTACATCCAAGAACCAGGACCTTCCAAGTCCGGTGGTTTTAGAAGCCTAACAGGTGGTTTCTGGGCACCGGACTTGTCACCAGGAAGCACCTGTGAAGTCGGGTCCAAGAAGAGTTTGTCCATGTTTTGGCACGTGAAGCGGACATAGACCTCCGCCAGGTCCGGAACCGAAGCGCCCGTTTTCCGATGAGCCGCAGCGACTGGAGCGAGCGACCGGTTTGCCTATCGAAAAGTGGATGGTTTCCAATACCTTTCTGCGGGAGGGGTTCATTCCTTTTCTATATAGAAAAGGAATGAACCAGCGCTGAACCTTCCAACATCCTCACTGCCAGGTCACCACCTTCCAACATCCGTTGAAGTCAAACCAGCCACCAGAAGAGACCGGTAGAGTCGGGTCCACCTAGGGAGTGAGGTTTGGACCGGGCCAGTCGCCAGTCGGTGTGACAGTGTGGTCAATCCCACCATGGCTTCCGGACTTTGGACCGGTGACATAGGTGACATGGAGTCTTTGGTGTTGGACAGACCCAATGATCATCATTTTCATACTTGTACACTCTGGAATATTCCCTGGAAGTAGATGGCATGACCCCGAAGGCATGACCATTTTCCGAAATACCCAACAGGTGGGTTTTCACTCCACTGATTCCCCTGATGCGAACTGCAAGGGGAGTTGCTGGACCTATCGCGCACGTATCCCCTCACCTCCTTGCGTCTGGACGTCTCGTCCCCAGCCATCACAGACACCGCCATCCCATCTGCTCAGGACGCCGATGGCTTCCAGGTCCTGCGTGACCCACGGGGGCGAAGCGAGGGCTCCTCGTGGGGAGCCTCGGAGCCGGACGGGGGTTTCGGGTGCCGAGAGGACGGGTTTGAGGTCTGCCAGGCTGCCACTCTTCTTCCGCCGACCAGCCTGAAACCTCAGCCAGGAGACAGTGTCCATGTCAACCCCATTGAACAGGGCGCTAGTTGCCAGGACCAAGCCTTATAGCAATGATTTGTAAGGGGTTATGTGCTCCAATGTAATGACTGGATTACTGTATTTCAAACTATTTCAACCATAGCGAGAACCTCGTGTTATTGCTCAAAGCCTTGCGTGAAATGGTGGTTCTTCAGGATTCACGGTAGTCAAGGAACAGTTCGAGATAGTTCAAGCAAAGCAACGTAAAGACACATCGTTGTCCCCACATTAGATTGTTCTTGTGAATCCTCCCCTTTCAAACCATCTGGACAATTGGTGACTACTTGTTCAACATACAAGAAGCACAAAAACAGCACTCTCAGGCACCACCCAAGCAATGGGTTCTTCTAAAGATCCTAAACGTCAAAAAACCGGTCCGTCACGGTCGGACGGTCACGGAACAGAGCCACCGACACCATCAGTCCTCCACCACCGACCCCCATCCAGACGGCGTGGCCGGCCACGTGGACCGACCTCCAGGGAGTCCCATTACCGCCCGTTCGACAGGTTTCGGAGGCACATGCAGACTTGAACGTCTTCCGGTGGTGACCTGTTGGAGGGTGCTATAGCAGGTTACGTCCTACAAGGTACACTTAACCTCTTTTGCTCGGCCGGTCACGTGGGCCTCTGTTTCATCGGACCCTCTAAAGCCTTGGCGGAGCCGAGCCAGTCAAGGCCCAACTGGCGGCAGAAGGCCGTCTCCGCCGCTGCAGTGAGCCGCCCGGACGTGCAGTGGACGTGGGACGAGGGTCGGCGGAGGATGGTTGGGCTGAAGGGGCGTGTTGTGGGTGCCATCCGGTCTGGGTGTCCTGGACATGGACATCTCTCAGGCAGTCCATTGCACACCCGGTCCTGGCAGTCCCCAGATTCTCAGGACCTGCATTCTTCAGTCATACCAGGTCCTGATAGCCCAGAAGATGCACAGTACCCACCCACAAATGCCGCAGCCGAAGCACTGATGCGAATCTGTCAAGGTTTTTGCTTAAATCTGCAAAGTCTGCCTGCTTGGCATCTGAAACTGAGGCAATCTGTGTTGGAGAAGTCAGGGACCCGCGTGTGCGCGGAGACCCCTTCAACGAATCCAAGGCCAGGATAAAGCACCGCAGTCTTCTGACAAGGCCATAGCTTCGACGAACACCTGCATGGATCGTGCATCCCTGCTGTAGTCGAACCGGACTTTTTCTATGTATAGTATAATTAACAGCTGTTCGCCTGATCAGATGGCTGTCTGGGTGGTGGTCTTCATCTCTCCAATGCTTTGCTCCAAAAAAGGAGTCCATGGGCCTCTCGATCCAGATTCCAAGGTGCGCCAAGGCATAGCGGCATAAGCCAAACCTGACCAGCCAACAGAGGTTTTTCAGGACCCCCAGCAGTACTTCCAGTTGGGTACCCCAGCAGTAGGCTGCCGGGTCCTATTTACGGTCACCAGATGTCACAACAAAACCTCTAGCTCTTAGGTGTTGACAGAAAAAGAGATGTCTTCGTCCCATTGGACTGGAAGATATTGCCGGGTCCGACCAGACAGCTGCTCTCCCGTCCCGGGAGTGGCTGCGCAGACCGCACAGCGGCGTGGACCCCGAATGAAGGGAGTCTTCGTCGGATTCGCGGACCGTCGGACGGTCGCAAGCACGGTCGCTGCGTCGGGGTGGGTGAACCGAGGTCCAAAGCACCTGGGTTTCACCCAGTCACGCAGAAACAGTTCTGGATGGAACCCAGTTCTGGCGCGCCAGGGGATCCGCTTACATAGCAAGTGGAACTGGGACTGTGGAGTTCCATCCATGAATTTCGGGTTGGGAGCTGGGTTTCCAGGCATATAAAGCCTGGTCGACTTGACCTCCGTAGGAGTAATGCTTTTGTATGACCAACACCAGTCAAACGAGGTCGTTGACCTGTAGGGTTATATGTTTTTTTTTTCCGCTTTTTCCGCTGCCTACGTTTGGTGAAGAATCCATCTGTTCTATGACTTAATATCTTATACTGTATACTTGTCACCCACGTAACCTCAGCATGACTCAGTTTTGGGACACCTGAATGATGGACTCATATAGGTGCGGGCATCAGAAACCCGGAATCCTGTGGGCCTCCAACTCCGACCTTCCCAGATCCCAGTGGCGGGTCGGTCACGGAGGGTGGTCTTGAAAAGGTCACGGAATACCCATCCTGAAGAGGTCAATGGGAAGGTCCTGCCTGCGCACCTTGGAAAATCTGAGGTGGCGCTGCTGGGTTACTGGTGCTTCATGCGCCTGTGTGTGCACTTGGCTTGGCGGCGGGCGCGGCCTACGCCACGACTCGCCAGGTGGGTCCAGTTTCGCCAGGGGGTGGGTCTTGGTGGACCACTGAGAGGTTTCGATCAGACCCTACAGGTCAATGACCTCGTTTCACTGGAGTTGGTCATTCAATTCAAACAAGCAAACGACCTGGTTTTGCTGGGTCTTTGGACTTGTAGGGAGAGGTTGGAGTTCTGGGTTTAGGGTGGTTTTGATTTTTGATCCAATTTTTCTCCCGAGGTTCAATATACTGTGATTTAGAGCTTCATCGGAATTTCGGGGTGTCAGAGTCTCCACCATCACAAGGAGTGATGATTGGTACATCCTAGAAGTCCAGTTCGACGATTTTTTTTGGCACCACCAGAGTAAAGGACATTCCTTTTCGGAACACCTCAAGACCATTTTAACATGGTCTTGGACTCCCAGGGTTGCATCTCACATGATCCATCCTGTCTTCGGATGACATACCTCCTTTGTCTGACTCAAAGACCTGGTCCAACTCACAGTTCCCTGCTGTGGATTCTCATCGCATCAAGCCTCGCTTCTCCACCCGACACCCTCCCGGGACCGGGTCTTCTCCGCCCCGGGACCCGGACGCAGGACAGCGCGGGGGAGGCCGCCAGATCCATGGGCTGCATGGGGATTCAGGCGGGGATGTGGTTGGACCCGACTTCACAGGTGCTTCCTGGTGACAAGTCCGGTGCCCAGGTTCACCACCTGTGGTCGGCTTCTAAAACCACCGGACTTGGAAGGTCCTGGTTGATGAATAAACTTGAATAAACCCACATATGAATACACACCCATATATATATATACATAATGGTAAGCGTAATGTAAACACTCATATTGGTAATGTAGTGTAGACTCTATATATGAAGAGGTGTTTCAATTCAACTGGTGTGTGTGTATTAATCCAAGAGTCTACATGATGTCTACATGGCTAGAATTTGTGCCCTCCAGCTCAAAGATGTTCCAAACAAAGTCCACCTGCGGAGCATTTGAGTTGGGCCATCCTGTTTGGACATCTTGGAAGGGATGTGTAGGCAGGGATGGGGTAGTACACACCCAGACAGTGACACCCCGTCCTGGTAGACCGGAAAGAGGGTCCACACCCTTTGTGTTTGGCGCTTTGACAGAGACCTCTGAGCCATTAGAACCATCAGAACATCGGAAAGAGGGTCCACCCCACGTTCATCTTCTCCATGATTTCCTTTTGGACAATATGACATCTACTCTCTACACTGAGTTCTGCACCTTTGCAAATAAGTAACAGCCCATTGGCTGTGTCTCACAGCACGGGGGCCAGACCTATGGTCACGTCTGCCAGACACTTTGACATTCTCACTACAACAACGGAAGAGAAGCTGTACTCACGAGTAGGACCTTATAACCAGACTTTTGTTTACCTTCCAGGCCACGTTGCTTTCCAAGATTGCCATGCTCAAAGGCATCCTCAAGGAAGACTTCACCCAAAACAAGACTTGTGTTGAACATGGTGTCTCGTAACCCATAACTATGTTTAACCCATCACCCATGGCCCATTTTCAGCAGGTTATCGCCTGTTAACATCCACCATGCAACTCCACCTCCACCCCGCACGCTCGTCGCACGCCATGTCTCTCGGCTCCCGCACCGCTTCGGCACGGCTTCGCTTCCCAGGCGGCGGAGCACGTGAAGCAGGTGGCGCATCAGCACCGCGTGGCCGACCGCGCCTCCGAGGCCTTGAGCGGCGTGCCTTGGTGTTTCGCGGTCGGCGCCGTTTTCGGTCACCGGCGGAGGTTTGAGGTTCCAAAGATATGCTGCGGTTTGACAAGCCAAACGTTTGGAACCGGATGGTTTTGATGTTTGACAAAGCTTGCAGCTTCTTAAAGTTTGATCCAAAGTCTTTGAAGCTAATGAGGATTTGGATGTGCAAGAAGGAAGTGATACAAGAAGGAAGTGAGGCGGGCTTAGAAAGCAGAAAAACCAGCCACGGGCCTTTTGGACCTCGGAAAAAAAAACACAAGCACCCCTAAGCACCTCGACCTACCCCGGGACCGCGGACCGGTCGATCGGACACTCGCTGGTGACCTCAGCGGACTCGCCGAGGTCCGCTCCCTGGACGAGCGCTGGCGGGTGTCCGAACGGACCCAGGCGGCGCTGGCCGGGCGCTTGCGACAGGGCCGTGGGTTCAGGGAAGCCAGAAACGTGAAGAAGGGTAGATTGACCTCAGTAGTTTCTGTGGTCAAGTCAAGCCAGGTAGCCCCCGGGGTACCCTCCGTTAAATACTTGGTGGTATGGAAGAGGTATGGAATCCTCCTCAAGGTTGCAAAGCTCAACATCTGGACAGCCTTCCATCAAGCTATTGCTACAGGATGGCAATTTCTGTCTGCTCTAATTGTATTTTTCTTTGGCTTTTGGGAGCCCATGAGTGGGGACTTCCACAAAGCTGACCCTTTGCAGTCTGAAGTAGCAAGCTCTTTGGAGAGTTTCTGAAAAAACCCTCGAGTTGTTGACCAGCAGTAATGTACCTCCATTGGGAGGCCGAGGACATATTTCTGAACCTGATGAACACTCCCCACCGACGAGTGTCCTTGAGGCCTTCGCGAGCAGCAGCGTGAGCACCTTGAGAGATCTCGACCAGCGTCACCAGGCCGCGAGCCCCCAGCGGCACCCCCCTCCCTCGCGTCGGGACTGATCGCTGCGCGCACCCAACGATGCGTGGAAGGAGCCTGAAGTTCGGACCAGGACGAACACATGGAGTTGGGTGGTGCATGTCAGGATCTGCTACTATCTCTTCCTTTGTTCTGTCAACTGGTGTGGCTCCATGAAGCAATTCCGGGGGTGATGTGATGTGACAGGGGCACCGGGCACCTCCTTCATGCATATGAGCACCCAACTCTATGGAACTGCTCGGGGTTGATGTCTTTTGGGACGCCCCTATTCTTCATTAGGGTTTTCAAAGAGACGACGGAAAGAACCATACATCGCTCCGTCGCAAAGCATTGGAATCAACCCTAAGAATGCGGGCCGGGTTTAGTGTCGGGACCGTACCCATTTTGCGAGGTACTTTCAGGTGCACGACCAATGATTGGCTTGTTCAGTCACTATAACTTGACTATAACTGTCCAACAGGTCCCGGTCCCGCTACCATCATTACCTCCCCAAAGGCCTCCTCGAACGCCCGATCCAGATTTTGAGGGTTTCTTGACCTGGAAAATGGCCATGAGATTTGAGCAGATCAAAATACGAGCAAATAGCTGCATCTGCTGCTTTATTAAAGACAAATTGATTATCAAAGTGTATAACTGCCGTTGAAAACGAAGGTGGAGGTTGCAAAAGTGTGTAACTGTCGCCGAAAACATAAGGTGAAGGTTGCCAAAGTGTGTAACTGTCGTGGAAAACCAGCTGGAGGTTGCCAAAGTGTGTAACTGTCGCTACTAGTGTGTTTTATGTCGCCGAAAACGGAGGTGGAGGTGCGCAGCGTTGGTGGAAAGTGCGTTTGCGGGAGTCCGTGCCACTGGATCACTGGATCACTGCGGAGTGTCGCTGTGGAGCGGATGATGGGCGGCGCCCACGATGCTTAGTGCTTCACTGTATTTCGTGAGTCGCGCACCGTGTGGCCCAATTATTTGCCACTACTTTACTTTGAGTGCTAGGTGCATCTATGCCACTCACCTCTTTCATTGAAATTCTTCACATACTTTCCTCTGATATACAAAGCGCCTTATACTGGCGCGCTCGTGTTTCCATGCTCCCGGGCCTTGCGGTTTCCATGCAACGTGGCCTGCCTGCTCTTTCATTCGCAGAAATTGGCAGTCCCAAGCCCGTCTGTGGAAAGATTGGAAAGCAAGGCAGGAAGTGGATGCTACCGCCACCCCTGCGTCAGACAGGGTATGGGGGCCTTGGTCAGAGCAGATCAATGAGCACAACGTGTGGTGGCCCACGTGAGTATTTAGATAGTGCGGCACGGCAACTTCGAGCTCCGGACCGCGAGGCTTTGGAGGCTATGCGTCAGGCGGTGGTTGACGCTTTGCGCACGCTTCCCCAACGAGAAGAGCTCGGCCGTTGCATGGCTGCAGCCGGCCTGCCTGGTGACATCCCTGTTCCTCCAGCAGAGGCTGTCAGGACCGCGGTTGTCACGTGTGTGACGGCGCATCCTGTCTGCTCCTCCGTTGGCTTGCGGCTTGCATGTCAAAAGCCAAACCCCAAATTTTCTCAGTTAGGCAACTATAAGTTCTCGTCTATGACTTGATGATCAGCGTGGCAGCCTGAAGGATCGGCAACGATTAAGATGTGCTGAAGCCGGCTTTTAAGGGGACTGTAGTATTTGCTATGGAGCACTTCTGAAGTTCAATACGCAATCACGGACAAGACTGATGTGCGGTGTGTGGGAATATTGGACTGTGGACATGAGTTCTGTCTTGGCTGTTTGCGCCCTCAGTACGCCAGTCGCAAAACATGTCCAACATGCAGGGCAGGGTTTGGAAGAGGTGATCCATCCTCCACAAGGAATGATGCCTTTGGCAATGGAAGGGCATGATGTGATGCACGCTCCGAGCCATGCCGGTGCCTCCACAGAAAGGTTGGATGCAAGCTTGCCCGCTGATGCCGCTGATGACATAGATGGGTGGGAACTCTGGATGATGCGACGGCGCAGGAACCAGAAGTTATCCACAGAGTTGGTCAGGATGGCCCGAAACAGATCAAGTGCCCTTGGTGAGCAGGAGTACGCTGTTTTATGTGCGGCAACTTCCTCGATGGAAACTCTTTGACCTGTAAAAACATCAGCTCTGGAACCAGAAAATCACGCTCCCTGGATGTGCTGAAGAAATCGTCCCCAAGTGCGTAAGCTGTCGAATGCCCTGCAATCATGTGGGGATGGGCAATTTGCATTGCGAGGGGTTGTTGCGCAGGTGGCTGGGCATCATTGCGGTCCCTGTTTGAAGGCGCGCAAAGCAGGGGATATAAGTAGCTGCATGCAAGGCGCCGCTGCCAGATGTGTGGCTGTGTGCGCTTTGGAGTCTGGGTGCTGGTGCTGCCAGATGTGTGGCCGTGTGCGCTTTGCAGCCTGGGTGCTGGCGCTGCTGGAGGGCCCCGCAGAATGCGGCTGGCAATGTGTTGCGCTGCAAACTTGCGTCAAGAGCGCAAGCAGTGCAAGCATGATGCGACACAGCTTGCTGAACGCGCGGGATGTGGAAACAACACTTCGCCGATCTTCGCCGCTTCGAGTTGTCGACAATGGGCCGACCCGTGTGGGAGTTCGAAGACCTTGGACCTGGAATGGGGCTTTGACGGATCAAAACCAATTGAAAAATCAATATACTGTAAGTGTTTCTTCACCTTTTCAATTCTGACCAATGAAGTTATGCAACAACAAAAAGAGGCGACCATGCGTGGATCTGGCAGGTGCCCTTGATGCCCACGGCAGTACGCGGGAACAACCTTCCTTTCCAATGCCAGATGCTACACACAATCTGCAGTCTTTGCGCTCCCCAGTTCCCCACCTCTTACGCAATTTTTGTCTCCTGTTTGTCAAAACCTTCCAGTTCAGTACGTGATCAACGAGGCTTTGAAAGATCGTTTCTGTAGCGAGTATGTAGATTGCTGGTGCAGTGTCAAGGTGAACTGTGCAAGTGCTCGCAAGCATCTGCTCATGCACGAAAATGCTGATAAGTGACTGGAATGGAAGGAAAAGTTGGCAGAACCCAGTGACCCAGTGTGCAGGAATTGTTTTTGGATGCTTTGGAAGATGCGCCTGAAGCAAGGACATGCTCAGGTCCCGGCAGAGCGGTGCCGACTTCGAGCAGAACAAATGAAGTGACTCTACAATCGGCTCCCCTTACAGTGACACCTACTCCCTCGATTCCCATCTCCTCTGCAATGCCTTCGTTGATCGCTTAAGAACCACCCAAACGCACAGGCCTCCTAGCCTCCAAGTCCCCCAAAACCGACCAGCACTCTCGTCTGCCAGCACCCTCCGACAGGTGGTTTTTTGGACCCTAACGAATGGTTTTTGGGCGAAGCAGGGTCACTGAACCTCTCTTGGGATTGCTTCGATCGTCTTCGCGGTCCTCACTGGGCAGGTCACCAGCAGCGTGGCTTCGGGCGCGCGACGGGCCTCGGCGAAGTTGGTGGAAGCGGTGACCCCGGCGGTTGGCTGGGCCACTGGGACGCAAGGGCTGGGGGGTTGGGGGTTTTGACCCAGGAAGTCAGTGGATCACCTGTCTGCACTTCCACCTGTTGGAAGGTCCTAGTGCTTTCACCTTTATGGAGGGTTTGGGGTGTACTCCAGGATTACAAGAACATGTGGAGTTCGTTTGGTTGGAAGTCCAAAACCATAAAAAACACATACTTTTTCACCTGGTGGTTTGTAACATCCTTAGTAAAAAGCCATGGCGGTTCAGGATCGAGACCATGAAATCTTCCGACCATGCGGAGGAGTATAGGGTGAGGTCAGACAGCCGCAGAGGGCACCAGATGGATGTGGGTCCAAACTTGGATGCCCAAAAAGCCGCGTAGATGTATATAGACCGTTGATGAATATTTCACCGCTCTTAGGAAGAGGTTATGCAATCCAATGTGCTCTTTTCTTTGAGTTATATAAAAGTATAATCACTCTACCTTACTCTCCTCATTTGGTGGTCAACGAAGCTTTTCCGGAGCCTCGGCCGGGTGTTCAGACCCATTTGCAGGTGGGAAGTCGCCTCAGCCGACGATGAGGTCGAGAACGGGGTCGCCGCACCGACAAGTCGAGAGGTCAACCATCAACCAAGGTCGGTCAAGCAAGGTTGGGGCCAGCTACCCTCCTGTCGGGGTGCCCTGTTTGGAAGCCTAATTATAGCCTCATAGGTAGTGTGGGGGAGTCCATTGGACAATTCTTGGAGGGTCCAGCTATGTGTGCACCATTGGGCCGAATTGATTGAAGTTCTGTGGACTGCCATGTGGTGCTCTGGTGTGATCCGGCAGTGACATTGGAGTTCTGTGGAGGTGGCAGTCGGCAGTCGGCAGTATGGTTTTCAGCTGTTTTTGGAGTCCTCCAGGTCCAACCTGGATCGCCTGCTTTCACCCCAATTCGGGTGTATTGGGGCCACCCCACTCAAATCCCAGAGGGAGTTCCTTTGCTTCACCAATTCTTTTGAACAGCTCTGCGGCTTGGCCTCGTTCATTGCAGTCCTTCTTGGCACCCCTTCACCTGCCGGCCGAAACCGTTCAACCGTCCTGACCCAACTCCGCGTGCGTTGGGGCTCGAGAGCTGGGATCTCCCCAAACGCAGCTCCCAGCTCACCCCGAGTCCTTGCGACAAACGAATGAATGGCAGGTTCCTCATATATCAAGGGGGTCCCTCCTCTCGAACCCATTTTTCCAGACGTTTTGGAGGAGGGAGAGCGGAAAGAAGGGCGTTGTTTCTTACGGAGCGAAGGGCCCGGCCTGGGCTCTCCATGTTGTTCAGCCGGATCCGGCCGCTGTGGGACGCAGCGTCACCGGATCGGCCTCCAACAGGGAACAGGCGGTAGAAAGCCTTCAGGAAAGACCATTGAAACAGCGTTGACCTGGTAACCAGCACCACCCAAAGGGTCGTTTATAGACCCCCCTGACTATCTATTTCCCATAAATTTCGGTAAAATCCTTAGTAAAACTAATGCTTCTTCGGGATTCACACCATCGAATCAATGGGGGAATCTTAGGGTCAATGAGTTGCAGCTTCCCCGCGCAGGCTGCGGCCGGGTCCCTGTGACCATTGGATGAACGATGGCGAAAGCATCCTGTGCGAAGAACGGCGTCCAGAAGTCTAGACCTCCTTACGCCTTCGAAGTGAGTCAATCAGGTGTTCGGATTCTTTCAAAATGTATAATATCAATCCCCCATATTAGAGTCAGCTACCTAGGTGAGCAATGAGCAGCACATGTAAAAAAAGATTGCAAAGTTCTTCCACAGACTCCAAGATTTCGCCAGCCTTGTGCGGTCTGCTTCCGGTGGGCCTCCTGTACAAACACCTCATCGGGCGATGGAGTACATCTTCATCGTGGCTCGATGACAGGGAAGAAGGTGGGTGAGTGTGGCGGGCGCACGCACTTCCATGGTCCCAAGACAGGTTGAACAGCCCTTTGTCGCCCATCCCATATGTACCACCTATCCCAGGGTCCGAACGTCCTGGTCTCTCAACCTCTCTTGGTCAGGAAGAAATTGGAACGTGGAAAGATCTTCCAGGACCATCCTGGACATGGGTGTCCTGGGACATGGGTGTCCCCGGACAGTCGTGCGGGGATCTCCAGCCAGCACGGGAGTCCGCACTCAGTCCCAAGCAGAAACAGTTCTGGTTTAGTTCCGGGCGCGCGCCAGCGGGCGCCAGCGGGCGCCATAGATGAAACCCTGACGGAGGATTTCTGGGACTGGGTTTCGTTCCATCCAGAACTCTTTCTGCTTGGGACTGGGCCATCCAGGGTGTTCCTGCTGGGCACACAAACCTTCAGACGAATCCCCTGGGATTCATCCGTACGGGCCTTCTCCACCGAGTCTCCTTGGACGGTGGAGACCTGAAGAAAGGATCCAGATGACCAAGTGGGGGTGCAGGGGAGGCTCGGATGGCTTTGAGGATCGGAAGTTCTTGAACCGCCGGGTGATGTTTGCTTTTCATGGTTTTGCTAGGCGGGTGATGTTTTCTTTCCCTCTGGGTGCATCCCCTTCTCTTTTTTTCGACCGCCAATGGAACCCACGACATGGCAGACCGGTCCTTGCCGTCGGCGCCACCCGCCACCCGCCACTTCTCTCCACTCTGGGTCGATGGCGATGGCCGCCGGCGGAAAAAGGGGACCCACAAGCCGATCGTGTTCTGCAAGTCGGTTGGGGGAGGCAGTTCCAAAACGATCCCCAATGGATTCCCGGCTTGAAAAACAAGCATAGTTCCATGGAGTTGGGTGGTTTGGTTCCTCCATGGCCACGCAAGGCGTCCTTTGGGAAGCGGTTGGTTTTCTGCAGAGTGTGTAGAAAGACCTGTAGCAGTTGGCAAAAGACAATCACTCTTCTTGAGAAAGGTCTTTACTAACCATCTTCCATGGTCACTGGGAGTGGGATATACCGTGATATACCTAAAAGTTTCCTCTATGTCGGCTCATGTTGACCCCTCCAAGTCTTTGCTTGGTTTGCTTGACTGGAAGCACTGGCTTCAGACATATCAAGACTGGCAGGTGGGCCGCCAGTGGAGGTAGATGAGAGCGGGTGCTTGGTTTCAAGTACCCATCTGTAGAGATCTCCAGATCCTCAGAGCCCTGTAGGGACCGGCTTTGATTTCGTTCAAACGTACCCGGCACCGCTTTGGGACCAGACGTGTCCTGACTGCACCTCCCAGCCCATGCCTGATGTCCAGACAGGACATTGAAACGGTTTTGTTTCGCTCCCCGGGCCTTGGGTCTCTCTGACCGATCAGTGTTGTGAGATCAGCGTTGACGTGACAATAGCTCTCGATGGAAGCAGGCTGCCTTCAATGCCACCCAGCGGCTGCTCTCCGGGGGCCTCGTTTGTGCTGGCCCCGACGCCCAGTGCTCCGGGGATGGGGCCCGGGCCGCGGGGGCCGGCGAGCCTCGAGCCGAGCGATCGGAGCAGCTGCCAGGACAGCAGCTGGGGGTGGGGGTTGGTCTCTTTCGGTGACTGAATCTGAGAGTTTCTACTTCGGTGCCCCCCTTGGACGTCCGCTTTTCGGCACTCTCTGGCCGAAACTGAGACCGCAAACATGCACCGTACGAGGTGAATGTGGCAAACGGTTTCGCCGTCGGAAGCCGTGATGCATTCATCACCTGGATCTTCCGTTCGTGACCAAAGATCCCCTGGTGACCGGTCATGGACAGGTCACAAGCAACTCTAGGGACTCCAGTTCGGTCACGCCTTGGCGGTCGCTGAGGGGCATCTTTTTCCGAAGTGATGGAGTTAGGGGAGAGATTCAAGATATTTCGATTCAATCTCACTGGTTTTGCGTTTTTGTTTATCTTATTTTCGCGAACTGGGCTTCATCCCAGATCCCGGATCTGGATCATATGGTTTAGTTTTCTACATGTTTGTCCGGCTCCTTAAGCAAATCATATATGCTTTCACTGGCTTTCTGCTCATGTGGCTTTTGTCTTTTACCCGAATGGCCTGGAGTTCCGAACGGATCAGCAGATTTTTGCTGTGGAAGCCTAGAACCCCCCCTTGATCTAAAAACGGCACATGGAGCCAGACCTGAGGCTATTTAGACTGGATGTAGTACGGGTTCTTTAGGAAGTCCAAGTTGATGCCCCCTACCCCGACCCGACGTCCTTCATACCTTGCAACATGGGACATGACCACGAAACCAAAAACAGGTACTTTGTGTCCTCTAGGATTCCTGGCCAACCATTCCTTCAATGGTCTGAATCCAATTAACCATGGCTTTACTCAGGTTCTTTAATGCATGGTTTGACCATGAAACCTTCAGTTCGACCATTCAAACAATGCTTGGTTGACCTGCTGACCTGTCAGATAATTAAGCATCCGAAACATCTTGAGTAAACCCATGCTTCGTCATGGGATTCATGAAATCAATGGTTGGCCACCAAACGGGTAGACTTGCTACATCCTCTCTCCCTATCCGAGGCCACGACCGCTCCGATGGTGGGCTGCTGACCGCGGTGTGCGAGGGCTTAGCAAGAGAGAAGCGGTGGGGTGCAGCTGGGTGTGGAGTGGAAAGACCCTTCTGTATAGGCTAAACACGGACTATTAATGTATTTTAAGAGGAAGATCTCCAACGAATGGGTAGACTGGCCAATTGTCCTTCTTCCAGGGGTCGTTGCCTGGGAGGCTAATATGGACTGCAGTGCGTATTTTAGTAGGAAGATCAAGAAGATCTCCAACCCATGGGTAGACTAGATTGTAACCCTGGCGGCCCTGGCCTATTTAGGGAACCGAACCCAGGGGGTCGGAACGGTGTGGAGTGGAACGGTCTCTCTATTTATCCATGCACACCCACATGGACAGTAAAATGCAATGAAGTCCTTTATATTTATAGATCTACTTTTTGAACATCTATCCATCGAGTGGTTTTCAGGGTCCATGTGGTCCTCTGCAGGAGGGTAGGAGGAGCTTGAGACCTTTTCTTTTCCTGAACTTCTTTTATAGGAGGGGTCTCCCTATTTGGGGTCAATACTCACCAACATGACTGTGAAGCGGAACCCAAGATGGCACCAGCTTGAAATCCTTTACATAGCAAGTGGGACTGGGACTGGGCCATCCAGAACTCTTTCTGGTTGGGAGCTGGGATTTCAGGTATCTCTTCAACTCCCTACACCTCCTGGCCCATATCCTCAGGTTCGGTGAAAACTGACCCCCCTGGCACCCACCCCTGGCCCACCGAACCGAAACGGAGGTAGGCCAGGAGCCCTAGACTTCGTACACCCACGCACCGGTGCTTGGTCCCGGACCGCCGGACGGAAGCGAGTCCGCCTGGCTCGTTGGCTCGCTTCACTTGCAGTCACCGTTTTGGCTCGGGGGTGCTCTCCGGGTCTCGGGGGTGCCTCCATCCACATCCAGTCACTGGTCAGAAGGGACGAAAGCCAAGCCATCCAACGTCCCATGTGACTCCTGGTGCCAAGCCAACCATGTGACTCCTGGTAGGCCGATCTGCCCTTCTCTTGCTCCTCTTCTGTGCAATTGAACAAGCAGCTCGGTCCCGCGCCCGTTTGCTCGAGGCTTGAAATGGCCTTTGCCGGACGCAAGGGCATCGAGCTGAAGCTGGACGACGCAGGCCGGTGATCTGATCGATCTGCATGGGACGACTCTGCATGTGACGAGTCGAGGAGTCGAGGAGTCGAAGAGTCGACCGACGGTTCAGGGATCCGAAGCAAGGATCACGGGTTGTTGGTCTCACAGCAGTAAGGATCGACCTACCCTTACTTTCCGAGTCGTCTTTCCGAGTCTGAAACCGGATCTTTGGGTGGAATTCGCTTCGAAGCCTTTCCTAGAAGTACTGCTCCCAACCTAAAAAGACCTCCAAACCCGCCGCAGTTCCATGGCGGAGTCCTTAGGACGTGCAAAGACTATATCCGTTGGGCTTCCTGGCCAACCATTTGGTTTGAATCCCGGCCTCATTGTTTTAGTCAGGAATGGACACTACAAAACCAGGTCAACCGAACTCTTTCAAACGTCGAACGGGTTTGGCGAAAGGGTATATTTTGATGGAGTCAGTGGATGTGAGTGGGCACCCTTCCTTCCGGTTCGTTCCCAGTTCGTTCCCACTTCCATGCGACTACTCCAAACACATTTGGAAGTCTTACCTATACCCTGGGAGTCAAAGACTATAAAAACAATGGTCTTTAGGTGATCCGAAAAGGAATATGCTTTACTTCAGTGGTCTTCTAGGGTATACCTTGTCCAGACCATCCATGTATGGATTTTATTTTGGACCCCTGACATCATCCTACTCGATTGATCGGTCAATAGGCTTTTCCGTCCCAATCATCCATTCCATCTGGCGCTTCCGTCGCCCTGGAGGCCCTGGCACCTACATGGAGAAGCTCTTCAGCGAAGCGCCTGGCCTGGTCTACGAGGCGGGCCCGGCCTCCTTGGCGGATCATCTGGGCGCATGCCACGGGCACATCCGTTGAATGTTGTTCCGGGCGCCTCCGCGAAGATGATTCGATGTGCTCCATCCATGCGTGGGTTGAAGGAGGCTGAAGGTTGCTGAGGGCAAGTTGGATTCCGAGGATTCTGGGAAGATGGACGAGTGATGTTGAACACCAGATGAGATCATTTGCGATTGGATTCGTGCGGATGCAGTGGGCTTTTACGAGCATTCAGCATGCATGCTTGCTTTGATTTACCACCATGTAGAGCAGGATGGACGTTTCTTCTTCCTGCGCCGTCTATGGCCCAAATCGTATGCATCCTTTGTGATGGTATGAATCGCCCAGTGCATGCTGCGACCCTTGCACACTTGTCACACCAAGATCACACCAAGATCGCATGAAGTCCAAGCTCGGTCGCACCTCGCCGCGGAGCAAGTGCCTTTGTTGCTCCTTTTCTTCAGACGCTCAAGATTTGCGCGAGTCCAATCCGACCTAGGCTACGGGTCCTTTGTAAATCTTTTTAAGGTCACTCAACCTCCCTTTTTTTTGATGCGGTTGCGCGTCCTGGACCATTGATTTCATCGCCTGCATTCCGAAGAACCGTTGGCTTTACGACTTTACACGTCACACGTCACCAGCTCAAGCATACCAGGAGTTACATGTCGTGCTGGCATTTTTGCCCTTCTTAAGTGATTGGATGTGCCCAGCACACCCTTAACCTCTATGGATAGCTTGTCTAGGTGACCTCCCAAGGATTTCCTAGACGTCGAACACCCTCGGGAGGTCTCATAAAAAAAACATAAAACATTGAATCCGCTGCTCTTTCGAAGGATCTTGGAACCGGCCGAGTCCGGTCTTTTCGTCCAAAAACGCTTCGAGAACGCTCGCCCTTCGCGGCATACTATGGGGTTGCCGGGTGAGGTCTTTGGGATTCAACCAAGCTTGGCTGGTGAGGGAGGGATGCATATGTTTTTTTTTTGTGACTGTTAAAATGATATCCATCCTTCCTTCCTATGTTTTTTTTTCGACTTTCCTCCAGGTGTGTTGGCACAGTTTCTTCTCCAACTCCAGTCCTCAGCCTCCGGTCCTCGCTCCGGACCGCCCCAGGTGCGGCGTGCCGACCTGGCGGCCGTGGCGCGGATCTTCGAGTCCGAAGGCGGCCGTATGAACGGTGCGAGGAGTGCGAGGAGTGCGAGCGACGTGAGGGGTGTGCAGCCCGGTGGCGGCCGGACATGAGCGGATCGATTGAGGAGGAGCTGGAAGTCCGAAGCCATTCAGTTCGATGCAACGACCGTCCTAGACGGTCCTAGACGATGATCCACATGGTTTGGGGGGGGGTTTCAGGTGCCCAAAGAATCCTTGGGGCCGCATGGGTCGGGGTCCCAAACCGGACCCTTCCCATGTCTTTTTCGGAGTCTTAGGGAGGTACAAGACTGATCATGACATACTGAAGTTGATCATGACCAGATTCCGCCACTCTTTGTTGCGGCGGTCTTGAAGACCAGGTGAAAAAACCTGGGTCTTTGATGCCACCAGACTCTATACTAGCATCCCCCCCCAAAATCCACATACCCTCCGAGAAGGTGAGGAAGCAAACACTGTTATGGTGCCATTGTCGGGTCCAAGTACCAGTACCTTCAAAGGGGTCACCAATGCAAGCCCCTACACTACCAACCGGGGTCTCCCTGTCCAGGACACCCCTTTGAAGGTCCAGGTAGAAGTACCTTTGAGAAGTGGCTCGCACCAGCAGCTCCATCAGGGGCACCTGAGCGGCCAGGCCGAGGTCAGTGAACCTCGCGAGCTCTTGTAGGAGCTAACCTCAAGATGGTTTCAGGATGTTTCAGGATGTTTTTGTTTGGATTTGCTTTGAATGGACATCTTCATCTTCAGCGCCAAAGTTGCTTGGGCTCCGGATTCGCTTGGTTCCCTGCCGAACATGGGAGCCGAAAGTGAATTGAACTGAACGTCTTCCATTCGTCCAATGTTGAACTCCCAGGGCCGCGCCCGCGCCTGTTCCGCCCCTTTTCCGAACCATGGGACCCACAGTTCTCTCGTCTTCCCGCTGACGGGTGGACCTGGGTGGAGCAATCTGTTCTCATCTCATCTAAGTCCTGTGAGGACTGTCTTGGTTCGGGTCCAACATCGACACATGTTTCACGCCTCGTGCCAGCGCACAGTTGCGAGAAATGCTGCCAGCCACTGCACATTCCACCAAATGAAGCCCTGAGGCGTCAGCGTCCAAGAGATTGGCTCGACACGAAAGGATCTAAAGGCGGTGGGGGTGCCGAGCACAGTGGGAGGAGCGATCTCATCGAGCTGCGTGGAGCTGGGTGGAGCTGGGGGGTGCGTACCGTGGGGATCTCGTGGGCTGAGCATGTATAGCTGGACCAGAAACACGGACCGTTCGTACCTGAGAAAGTGAGATCACGACCCAAATAAAAAAAGACAGGTATAGTTATATATATATATATATACCAGCACCACCCAAAGGGTGGTTATTAGATGGAAAATAGATAGTCAGGGGGGGTCTATAAACCACCCTTTTGGTGGTGCTGGTAAGTTATGAATGTAATTACCCTTTTTCCGAGCTACTTCTCGGGTCGACTCCAAGTAAACACACACACACACTGTCATTTATACAACCCGATCTTCAGTTCAACCACAAAAAGAATGGTATACCATGGTTTTCCTTGGTTTGTAGTGTCAAATCCTTGGCAAAGACACTGGTTCACACCACTTAATCAATCGGTTGGCCAGGACTTCCCGATAGACTCGCGCTCACTCTTCCGAGTCGGTCGCGCCCCCGAGGTGGTCCATGTGGGCAAGGAATGCGTTCTGGACGCGGACGTCGCCTCCTTGCACTGCATCTGGGAGGCGAAACGGTGGTGATGACTGCCACTGAAGTCGAAGATGGGGGAGAAAGTGTAGGTTCAAGAAAGGAACATCATCAGATCATTGGAAGAGTTTCAGTGTTTGCTCCCACACACTGACAGACACATTCATTGTACCCTAAACGAATTCTTCATTTATTCACTGGATCAAGCGCGCACATGTTGGCTTACTGCCAGCCTGAATCCAACATCTAGATGCTTGCAGCTCTTAATTTTTTGGGATGCTTTCCCAACGTGGACCTACGGGAAAACCGATGGTGGGTGGAACTCTGAGACAACGCCTCGCTGCGACGGTCCGAGCGACTGGTGGTGCGGCGCAGACGAGACTCCGATGTCCCCGTTGGGGAAAACCGTGGAAAACCGTGGATCACCATCCTGCAGGTCAAGTGGGGGATTGGGGGATTGGGGTCTCATAGCGCACATCAGGGATCGCAAGGTGCGCGGGGGGACACGTGGTGTCCGAATACCACGTTTGGTCAATCGCTCGATGTTTCCCGGGGAAACTGAGGAGAACACTAGAGCTTGGCTTTTGTTGATTGTGGAGGTCGATCTGGATTCGACTTGAACTGGAGATTCCAACCAGGCTGTGCACTAGTCTATTGGTCATTGAAACTTGAAACTTGACCCCCCCTGGAAACCGAGTCCCAACCCTAATGAAATGGAGAGTCCAATATGCCAATTGAAGTCCTTTACAGAGTCCTTTACAGAGGAAATGGCTGGGACTGGGGAGTTCCATCCACTCATTTCTGGTTGGGAGCTGGGTTTCCAGGCTGCTATGTTCAATTTCTGGAGATGAGACTTGAACTGTGAAGAAGAGAAATTGAAGATACCAGTTCCAAAAAGACGACCAGCAGTCACAAAGGTGCTCATTATCCACTCACTTAGGGACTAAAAGCCAGTTAAAGTGGATGTTTCATGATTTTTCTATACTTCTGTTTTCCTGTAGACTTGTGAAAGCAACGTAGACTCATGTGAACGGGAACAGAGATGCTTTACGTGACCCTGTGCAGGGGGGGGGAAGCACCAGCCTGACTGGTATAGATGCCTTCATTCGCTCTCCTTTTCAACCCTCCAATGTGCGCAAATGACGAAAAACGAACACGACAGGTTACCTGGAGTGTCCGGAACCTGCCAGAAACTTGTGTTGGTCAAGGTCCTTTGTAGCAAGATAGCAAGAAGCTACTAGGTGGGAGGCCATCGCTACAGCCTCATCAGCCGGTACCCTGGGAGGCGAACGATGTCCGTTCTTCAAAAGTGATCCGAAGGGTGACCGTTGCTATTAGCTTGGAGGACGATGTCAGAAAGGACCGACCTGCTACTTACCTGGCCCTTCCCCCAACCCGATGTCAGCGCTTCCGGAGATCCGCACCGTTTTGGTCGCTCTTCGGTCGGTCCGAATGACCCGGTGGCTTCGTTTGGACTTCCTGGGGCCCAACCGCATTGATTTCGGTCGTCTGGACTTCCGCTTGACCATGGGTTTTGACCCATATGGAAGGATGGATGGAACAGAACCAGGGTGCAGTGCGAACCCATTCGTTGAAGGGAGTCCGAACCCTGGGTTCGGCTTCGGATGCGGGGTCCGAGGGTCATGCCTCACCTCGTTGGAGGCCACGAGCTTTCAGTTGGAGCGACAGCAGTGCTACGTGCCCTGTGTCCCTGGGGCCGAACCGAGCGGCCGAGCGCGCAGTGAAACCGTGGGACGAGACGAGGACGGTTTTCCCACTCGGAACATGCGAAGCACATGCCAGCTGCCAAACGTCTGAAGACTTGCTGCGGAACGAACACGGAACACGGAACACGTAGAGCTTTTTCAGGATGAACGGCATCGTTTTGGGCTGGGCCATCCGGGTGATGTAGGATATTCTTTCTACACAGGACTGCGGACTTCTTTTCAATCATCATTGGGATTCTCGGGCGGGTCATGGTGTTTCCATGCGTAGAACCTCTGGCGCCAAACGGCGGGTCATGTTCTACGCAAAAGGTCCCCCCAAAACCGGATTGGACCTGGACCCGTCGTTCCGTCGTTCGTACCGAAGATTGGAGAATCGACCCCGGTACCGGTGTTAGTGACGTGAAAGTGACTTGTACTGCTAGCACTCATTTTTGTGAGGTACTGTGAGACGTGAGACCTCCAGACAAAAGCTTTCTATAACCCAGACACTCCATGTATGCTATATATGCCGATCAGTTGGGGTGGTTTGGGGGGTGGTCAATGTAGGCATAGATAGCATACATGGAGTGTCTGGGTAAACAACGTCACGTCCAGTAATTACATGATAATAGTCGTGGATTGAACTCTGCCGCTGTAACACCTCCGTGTGTTCATCACCCTATTTCACGATGTGTTCACTCTCTATTGCTTTGGGCATCTCTTGGATTTTTGGTGTATCTTAAAATAGGGAGACCTCCATAGGGCGATCTTGATTCTTCTCGCTATGACAATTCTTTAGCGGATGTTCCGCTTCCAGGTGGAGCAGGAAGAAGCGGGCTTCAAAAACAGGTGCCGTGGAATGTGCTCGTGCGTTGTTTTTTGGGTGGAATTCTCTTAGCCTTCCAAGACCATTTTCAAAGTGGTTGACCTGGTATTTTGTAGTGTAAAACCCCTAAAACAATGATGGCTTGGTAAGGATTTAGAACATTGTTGTTGGAATCCCAGGCTACACTCACTCTACGAATCCGGCCCTTCTCCAATCAGGTGTTTTTTCTTCGGCTACGTTTCGGTGTCGGGTCAGCAAGGGCTCTCCCATTCGCAAGGGTCCCTGACCAAATCGACCACCGAAACGAACTGGATCTGAAAAATGACCCTTATGATCGCCAGACACGACCCAGGCCGATGGGGTTGGGGGACCCCCAACCCCATCGGCCTGGGAGAGGTATGGTTCACACAGCGAGAAATACGGAAGGTCCAGGATCTGAACGATGACTCCCTAGTCCCTAGTCATCTACTCCGGTCACGAGTTCCCGTTCACATGGGGGGAGAGGAGCATTCCCGTTCACCTCATTACATTATATTAAATCAATCTGGTTTTGCTAATTTTTAAAAAAACATCACTATATGGTGGAATCCCCTTCCGGTGATGTTTCTTTTTTTTTTCCAGGTTCCTTAAGCAAATCCAAGTCAATGGTTCTTGGAATTATAGGGTTATTGTGATGCTCGCCAGTTGATGAAATTTTGTGGATGACTTATCTTGACCAAGAAGCTGGCTCATCAATCACATGACACCAACTCTGTTACTAACTCTGTTTCGTTTCTTTTTTTGACGGCCTCAGTTTAGCTTGGGGGTTTGGGAGCTGGTAACTTATGGTCCCTGAGAGCGCCTCGTGATTGATTTCAATCAGCTCTACCTTTGAATATCAATGGGGGTTCCAAAACCAGATCCGGAGTCCGCATGCTCACAACCCCCCGACCTCCCGGACGCAAGTCGGTCCAATGCTTGATGGGGATGATGGGCGGGCTCGACTTCTCCGAGCCATCCCGGACGTCGAGTCGACGGAAGAAGAACGCTATAGGACCATGGTTTTGCGGGTCCTCGATGTGGTAAGTGCCGCCCTGGCATCGACATTGAGATTTGTTCCAGTTCCTGGACGGCAGATGCAAGGGATTCACTGTTGAACGGAACATCATTGTTTAAAAAGAACATAGAACCCGCCTGGCGTGAAGAGGTTTTTTTACTCCATCTTTGCTTGGGGTTCTCTTCATCTAAACGGGCGGACACAAAAGGAACCCTTCGTTTTCCCCAACCGACGTGGCGCATCATGAGTCTCTGAGTCTCCCAGGCGGGTGCCTCCCTACAAGCTCAGCTACACGCCCGAGCCGACCGCGGACGCGGTGCTCAGCTCGGGCAGGAGACCGTGTCGACCGTGGAGAAACAAGAGCTCCAGGGGGGAAAGAGGCAGAGAGCCCAAACCATGGCAAGGTCCGGGTCTGGCAAGGTTCGGGGCACTATCCCGGACCAGACGATGTCTGGGACTGAAAGAAAACACCTACATTGGGGTCATGAAATCATGGGATTTTCATGTTTGGTGGCGGTCTGGCAACCGGGCAACCACGGCCGACTCCTCAACATGGAAACTTGCTCAATGTCCATGTCCTTGAATGAACAGACATGTCAGCCTGTGGCAGAACTAAGTATATAGATAAGGTATACCCTAGCCTTCAAAGACCATTCAAAGCATGGCTGATCTTTATTGTAAAGCCCTCAGTAACTCAATGGTTGTTGAAAGTCATGTATATAGACGCTGGATGTCGCCCTGGGAGTGGTTTGTTGATGGACACCCGTTCGGTTGGACGCAGGTGTGCCTACCGGTCAGACTATATAGGACCCGCAACGTGGGGTACCTATGGGATAGTTATATATGGTTCTTCAACCTCAATTGGAGGAGACTGGACCTGAGTCAGACTGGACTCGTAGGACATGTCTTTTTCTTCTTGGGACGAAGGACAGCCTTCAGACAGGTCGCAGGGAGGCCAGGCTTGACAACCCTGCAGGGTATTCGGGTATTCCGAACAACCATTACTAAGGGGTTTGCACTACAAAACCAGGTCAACATACAATTTGTTGTATGGTTTTGGAAGGCTAGGGTATGAGTCAATCTCCATTTGGTTCCTTAAACAAATCCATATATAGGGCCTTCAGCAACTGAACTAGAGCTCGAGAAGTTCACTGAAACACGTGACGCTGCGGTGCGTCAGTCATCTTCTTTTCCTGAGACACACCGCACCTGCCCACCTTTTCGTGGTTCCACCGAATTCTGTCCCAGACACGTCATGGTACTACCATGCCTCGGCCCCCCCCCCCCAGCCACCAAGCCTAAGCCTATGGAGCTTCCAGTCCCGACCCTCCGTTCGCTCGGGTGTTGACCAGTGTCGCCTCTCCCAGCCACAACGAGGCTCCACTGCGGGTTTTCTCCGTCCAGATGGGCCGTAGGACGTGGGCCCTGGGGATCGGGTGTCCTCCGTCCGCAGGAAGCACCGTGTGGCGATCGTGGGAGCGGCTCAGGGGGTTCGGAGCGGCGCTTTGGGAGGCGTTCGTTTGGGGCGAACGGTTTGGGCGACGAAGCGGATGAGGTGCTAACTGGTGCTGTTTCTGAACCCAGTTCAACCACTTCGAGGGTTCCATTTTGCTGAAGTATTTGTCAGTGCTGACGTCCATCAAAGCAAGACCTGGACCCTCCAAGCACCTAACAAAAATGGGACATGACTCAGACCCTATACAAAAAAAATATAGAAACAGGTACCAACATACCCATTCTCCGAGGTACTTTAAGAGACTCGTACGATGATCCCATGATCCCCCAGAGCCTTAGACGCTTGGACCTGAGCATGGATGGTCTCCGGAAACATGTGCCGTTCGCACAGGAAGAGGAGCATTCCCCGTTCGCCTTCAGGGAAGACCATTCAACACATGCTTCGACCTGGTTTTGTGGTGTAAAATCCTTGCTAAAGCGATGGTTCTTTGGGATTCAGACCATTGAATCAATGGTTCTTGGAATCAAATGGGGATTGGAATTCACCCCAAGAATTGGGCCCTTCACCACTCCAGCTGTTGCGACGGGCAAGAACGCTCGCTCTGTGTCCGTCCTTTTTGTGCCGTCCTGATGCGGTAGCGAAGAGGGCATGTGCCGGACGTCCATCCGCCTTCCTTAGCAACGTCCCGACGGTCTGAGGAGCCTGGTGTTGTAAACCCGTAAAAGGGTTGGGACCGGGATTCAGGCGATTCAATCGATAGTGGGCCAGGAAGCCCTGGGTCACGGCGTCTCATTGGGTCGCCTTTCGCTGCATGGGTCGTCCGAAAACCCAACGGGGTGTGTGGTCCCTGGACGATCCGCTGAGCCACAATTGGTTTACCCTTAGTCACCGTCGGGAGGTTTCTTCCCCCAAAGAGGGTGAATTCCGGAATTCCAGCACCATCCAAAGGATGGTTAGATTGAATGGAAACACATTGTGAGTGGTTCGTAAACCACACGACCTGGGTGAATTCCCTCTTGGGAAAGTATTTTCCTTTTTGGCTTTGGGACAGCCTCTCCAATGTGCCCCACTCAAAGAATTTGCACAGTTCGCGGGCTGGTTGGAAACACCTTATTCTCAGATGCCCGCCCAGATTGCAACAAGATTTTAACGCCCACACGACAAGGAGAGCTGTAGCAACATTGAGGGTACAATGGTTCTAGAGTTACGACACAAGCTTTCCTCTTGCCCTGACAAAGAAGCCCTAGCAAAGAAGCCTGGTGGTGGAGACGCAGAGTTGCTGAGAAACCTGTTGGCCTTGTGCCCGAGGCGAAGAGTTCAAAGGATTACAGAGATCAGTGCGGAAGTGGCTTTACTGGTGTTTGATGATCCATCGGCCGTGCGGCCTGCAAACCTATATACCATCTGAAAAGCAGGAGAGTTGCCAGTTGCGCTCCACTTGTTTGTCCACTTCGCGGTGTTGTCACACTACTGGAGCGTCTTGAGAGGGTCCACTCTCCATCTCTATAGAAGCGAGTACTGGTCAGCATGACAAGAGCAGCTAGCAAAATCAGAAGCTGGAAGGCACTCCCAACACAGAGTAGGTTCTGCTTCGGACGCGCTTACAAAGGATCCAGCAACAATGAAGTACAATGAAGTTGTTTGTTGTCGAGGAAGGCTGCTTTGTGCACCGGCAGGAGGCGGCTGTTTTGATTTTCCTGTTGAACAAATGTTCTCCTACTGAGATCATCATGTAACTTCAGACAAGCCTCAAACGATCCGACACACGCCGAGGCGCCCGTCGTGGGAGTCTCGACCGTGCAGTTCTGCAGTTGCACCATTCGCCAGCCCTTCTAGTCCAAGGGACCGAACTAAAGAAAACACCCACATTGCCAACCTCCTTGACGCCTCTCTCGGTGGCCGGACCTCGCACTCCGACGAGGTCGCCGAAAACAACCACAGCTGAGGTCCGACAAGAAGGTTCCAATGGTGATCGCGAGATGGCGGTGGCTGGTCTGGAAGTGGCCGGTGGCGAGCTGGAGGGGATTTGGACACAGGGCATGTGAATTGCAAAATTACATTCTTCGACTTTCAAGACGCAAGATGCAAATATTGGAGCCGAAGATCACCGGGCCTCGAATGAACAGTGTTTGTTGGGTTTAACTCTCTGTAAGTTGCATTATTTTCAATCATGCAAGTCAACGCGCTGTAGACAGTGTGTTTGCGGGGAGGCCCCCCTGAACAAAAGGGCCACTGAAACAATGTTTTTTTCGGTGATAGAAACGCATCCATGTCAAATATATGTGTGTTCCGTATTCCCAACTAAATTGAACAATACCAAGGAATTACAAAGAACGGCTCAATGTCGAACCCAATACTAGGTGGCCACATGCAAGGTGCAGGGTTTGAAACAAACACCCCTCATATAGATAATATATATATATACCTAGAACCTAAATGACCTCTATTTTGGATCACCAACCACCAAAATTAAAGTTTTTTTCCTATCAAAACAGAGGTCAAATGGGCCTTAGGTATAAAAAGGTGTTTGGCAGGTTCTGGTTGTGAAGGTGATTGGCCAACTTACAGCCCGAAGAATCGGCGACGGCAAAACGTGGTTGATGCACACCGAGCTCTGGTGGTGAGCTCTGCACGTGAGCTCTGCTCTTCACCCGTTTGGCTTCGCATTGTAAAAGTAACGATGGTGATGGTGCTACTCAGACAACAGGTCACCGAGGTTGACAGACTAGGGAACTCTGTCAACTCGGAAGCAGAAATGAAAGGTTCCAAGGAGGTGCTTAACGGAGCATAAGGGGTGCCCATGACGGCAGCTGCGGCATATAGTGTGTTCTTGACTTCAATTGATGTCGAGGTCAGGCCTGTGATCAGAATGGGAGGCGAAGCCGTTGATTGGTTCATCGAACATCAGTGATATCCGGGGTTATCCGGGGCATCTGAGGCAAGTGAGATGTCGGAGATGGACGTCCTTGCTCAGGGTTTTTCCCCAAGTCGTTCTTCCATTAGAAGAAGGTAAACAGTCTTGATTAGAATCAACTTCAATCTGGCGCTGTCACTGGAAGGACCACTTCTATTAAGGTACACTCTCTGGAATCAATCATGCAAGTGGACATTGGATGAACATGGTTTTGGATGACCATTCTTCTCTACAAACTGGTACATGTCCAGGACCCCCTCCAACCAAGGAACCCCCTCCAACCTCTCGCGACCGAAGGGGCCGAACAGGGCTGCTGTACACTCCGACCTCAACCGATCCCAAGGCCGCGTTCCACATGGCCGGCTTTGAGGCGCTGGTCTCCGACCCCCTGTCGTCGGAGGATGAGTTCATAGGAGGAAAACCCCGAAGAACCGGTTTTGATCCGGAATTGACGTCTACAAAATCCAGGTCAAACTCATGGAGTTGCTATCGCCGAACGGACGTGAGTCCACGGAGCGGACCTGGGGTCAACCGTTCGGGTCGCGACCGGCGCCCGACCAGTCCAGGGTCCACCAGGTTCGCCCGTTCCGCCGTCTCCGCCACGGGACGGAACCGTCTTCGCGGTGGAGAAGCAGCGGTTCTTGAGGTGGTGCCCAGAAGCAGCGGATCTGCGCGTTTTAGACGTGGGTGCTTTTTTGCGGAAAGAAGCTCCAAAAACGAGGCAAAACATGGCAAAACAAGCTAAGCTAAGCCAAAGATCACCAGAAGCTCCAAAGGGTTGGTGTTTCCAGGTCTCCCATGTTGTGTTCTTGCCCCCTCGAGTGCCTCCTTTCCTTTTTCCAGGATCCAGACCGATGGTTTCCACCCCTAAAGCGGTACTCTCCCCTTTTAGCTACCGGTCAGTGCACCTTCCTTCACCTTCCGCAGAGCCACGCCCGTTTTCAACACTCGGATCGACCAACTGTAAACTCCCCCCACAAACCGACTGGCTCGTGGATAGAACCTGAGAACCTGAGCCAGACTGGAAGACGAGCCAATTCCTCTACAAACCGAGGAGAGTATACTCTGGGGGGATTCCATGCTTTTTTCTGGTGCAGGGGAGTCATCAATGGTTCTTGGAATTCGGGCCTAGAAACCATCAAGTCGTCTGGACCGTCTTACCTGGACCCGACTTCGTTCGTTACGTGGTGACGGGGACGCTTTCCACCCGGTGACCTTTCCAACGCTTGACCCACAGGCATGGGACGTGCACATGACGGACCTCCTGGAAGGCCGCACCTCCCTGGAGGCCCTCGACCGAATGGGGAGACCAAAAGGACACCAGGAGTCACAAAGGGGTGGTTTTTAGTCCCCCAAGTGAGTCGATAATGGGCACCCCAAACCTCCATGGATCGCACCCCTTTGTGACTGCTGGCTTACGTATGTGTTTTTGTTTTGCTGGATTTCAGGATTTGGGGAGGAGAACATGGATATTAGATATGATATTATATAGGCGTTTTTGGGAGTTCTGAGATGAATGGATCAAAATCCCCATGGCGCTCGACAGGTTTGAGGACCAACACCGGAACAGTTGAGGATGCCAAACGCCCCAGATTCGCCCCGCTGGGGCTTGGCGAAGCACCTGCTCCCGCACCTGCTCCCGCACCTGCTCCCTACAAAACGCCCAGCCGATCGCGGCTGATTTGTAGGGGCGTTTGGGTGCGAAAACAGATGCCGCCCTGCTCGAGCTCTGTTGGTTTGATCATCCGAGCGGAAAGGTGAACTCGTTTCCTTCGTTCCAGCGGGCTCCAACATGGCTGGGCGGCGTGGAAGTACCTCGAATGGACCACTGTTGTGATAGAAACAAATACGTGTTGAAAGACTATAGTGGAGTGTTGGCCAAAATCATCCCAAAGTCAGGGCCACTCAGGTTCTAACAAAGAGATTCATCACGATCTGCACCGAAATTGTCACGAAACACCTCGACTGCAGGGTCCAGGCATCAGGAGTTGTTCTTCGGATGTAGTCCGATAAGTATAGAGGTGCAACCTCCATGTGTTGGGCAAAAGGTGCAGATGTGCCAAACGCATCAATTCGGTGGTAGTAATTCTTCGGATTGTTTGAGGATGGCTTCCCATCTGGTTTGTTCAGAGGTCCAGCTCGGCAAGCAACAGCTGACGGTGTTGGTTCATCTGGTGAGTTGATGCCCGAGCTTGGGGCTCTGAGCGGTTTCGAGACTTGGGTTCTTTGTTGGGTTGACCCCAAATTCATGAAAGGCATCCAATTGCATCAGCAGTCACAAGACGGGGTGCTGAACTTGGAGGGTAGGTGTGCCCCTGTCACATCCACGAGCCCTGGATGGGACACAAAACCACCTTTCGCATTCAAGATGTTTCGGAATCTAAGACCTAGATCTTCGAAAAGACTTCGGCCCGACGTCGCTGGGCTAAACATGCTCCAAACAGGACGAAGAATGAAAACCCGAACTCCCAGACACCAATGATAGCTGGAATATGCCAATCAATTGGCCCCAGGTTAACCACCCCAACTGATTGGCATAGACACAGATGTTCCAGACATGGAGTGTTTGGGCCTGTTTGGGTCTGAGTTCCAAGTCCTGTACATTTTGCCCGGCCTCACTGCCCGGCCCCGCCGCGACGTTTCTGGCCCAGCGACGCAAAGTCGGCGCCCAAGAAGCAGCCCGCAGACCAAGCTCGGCCAGCGCCAGCGTCCGCGTCCGCGAAGGGTGCGGAGTGGTGGCCACCATGGCGACGAACTATGCGCCTTTGCTCCCCTTGAGTGTGGGCTCCAGAAGTGTCACTGGCTATATGACCGGCCACTTGGAGAAAAGGACAAGAAGTGGAAAGGAAGTGTGCGTGCTCAGCGCAAAACACACGAGGGACCGAGTGAGATGCAGCTTGACGGTATCGTCGACGTGTGACCGAGAAGGTATCATCAGATGGCATCGTCCTCCGGAAAGTCTTCCAGCGTCGTCCCCCGAAACAGAAGATAAGAAGCCGTTTCAAGAACGGTCGGTACACTCTGACGGACACATCACATGGAAGTGGAAAACCCCTTGTTGGTAGAAGAAAGTAGTCTTCCAAGGGAATTTTCCACTTGCATGTTACAGGTGAGTCAGAGGGTCTTTTTGCTGGCACACGTCACAGATCGGTCGATATAGTTTGGCGCCATTGTGCTGGTACCACAGAGACGGAAGATGACCAGAGAGCCAATTGGACACAGTCGTAGCAAGGAGGCTATTAGGTGGAGACCATCGCAAGTAGGTTGGAGGCCATCGCTACTAGTAACAACCAGGACAAACAGTCGGGGTGGTAGACAAGGACACCCCGAATCACCTCTTTTCGGGGCTATCAATAGAAGCTGGTCCGGGTGTCCTGGAAGAAGCTACTAGTAACATCTACCTGGACCCTCCACAGGTGTTTCCTGGTGACAAGTCCGGTGCCCAGAAACCACCTGTTAGGCTTCTGAAACCACCTGTTGGAAGGTCCTGGTAGATGTTACTAGAAGCCCGCACGGCAGCGCCGGACGACCCAAGCAGCTCGCACAACGGTGTTCAGCGACCCAAGCAGCACAGACATGGAGACGGGCACCCGGGAACGGCGGGTCAACGGAGAAACGGAGAGAAGGCCCCATACCTGGAAAGCTAAACAACAAGAAACCCAAACAACCAGAAACAGATGGTTGTTCCAATATGGCAATTGAACAATAAGTATATAACGAACGAAACAACAACGAAAGGCCTAAAGGATCCGAAAAGGTCTAAAGAAAAAACAAAGAACAAAGGCAACACGTACAAGTCAGCAAGGATCACCAAGGGGCGCCGCTTCTTCACAGTGAGAACCCCTAAACCCGCCACACGTCGATCTGGGAGTGGCCGGTGGTGACCCAATTCCGGCGGTGGCCTTTGTCCACCGGGTCCTGGTCCTGGACCGGCGCGTGGGAAGCGGCCCATCTCTCCGGGCTCCTACAGGTCAGGAAAGCGGACCTCATGATATACTGGAGTTGGTCATGTACCAAAAACATGCAACAAACAGTTACAGTATGCTACAGTAACTACCTGGTCCCCCTGAAGAGTGATAGTTTTTCACTCCAAATTGAGATGATCAATCTTTGGGGAAGTGGGGTGACAAA